AATATTCTGCCTGTTTAGATTTATTATTAAGCTGGTATAGGAAAGAATGCTCAGAACTTTGAAGGCATTATATATTGACTTTACAGGAGGCTGAGGCAAAAGCTGCAGGTGCAGAGGAGAAGGAGAGATCCATTAATGAGCGACTATCACAAACATTATCTCGGATCAATGTGCTCGAAGCTCAGGTTTTCTAACTTCTCCTTTGGTGCTATGAGACAAGTTTTTTTATATTTAAAAATAGCTCATACAAAATGAGAGATGCTGCAGATATCCTGTCTCAGAGCTGAGCAAACACAATTAACAAGATCTTTAGAGAAGGAGAGACAGAGAGCAGCAGAACACCGGCAGGAATATCTTGCTTTGAAGGAGGAAGCTGATACTAATGAAGGTCGTGTAAAGCAGTTTGAAGACGAAATCAGGGAACTCAGACGGAAACACAAGCAGGAACTGCAAGATGCATTGATGCAACAGGAACTCCTGCAGCAGGTCAGTACCATTTTTTATGGCTGGTAAAGCCTTAAATTGTAAATTATGGTTATGTGTTGGCTCGCATTTACTGATTATTTGTTTAAGTAATCTAAAATTCCCAAAATGTTCCCTATATTAGATTTCATGTGATTCATGTCTATTACTCCAAATAAATTTGGTAAGCCGCAACTTCATAGTTGCTTATTTAGCCTAGTGTTTCGAACACATTAGTGAATGTAAAAGAAGAATATATTGATTCTTCCCTGCCCATGGCTGGAAGGAGAGGAGAGCGGTCCGTGACTAGCTTATCATAATTAGAGATTTGATTTCAATTATTGATGATCTTATTAATAATTGTGAGTATGAATAGGCAAATCCTTACAAGAGACCTGCCATAATCATGCTAGGAATCATGATTCCTTATTTGGGGATATCATTTAAAAAGGAAGTCTATAGTTACCCTAGTTCTTTGTTACACAACTTGTTACACTAGTCATTATCTCCCACTTAGATTATTTTCATTCGAAACCGACTATAGGACTGCAAGTTAGTAACACATAAATCACCATTGTAAAATTTCACAATGATCTAATGGTTCATTGTGAATCGTGCAATTCAAAATCAATGGAATATAATGTTCCAAAATTTAAGTTGCATGATTCACGATGAACCGACAGTTGGATCATTGTGAAACTATACTATGGTGATCTATATGTTACTAACCTGCAATCTTACACTCAGTTTCAAGTAAATAATCAGAGTGGAAGATAATGACTGGTGTAACTTTAGGCTTCCTCAACCGCTTAATAAAAATAGAATAAGACAATAAGGGCCTGTTCTTTAGGGCTGGAAAAAGAAGAGCCGGATATTAGAAGAAACCGGAAGAAACAGGAAGAAACCGGAATAAACTGGAAGGAAGTAGAAAAAATTGGAAGAATTGGAAGAAACTGGAAGGAACAAGCAATGTTCGAAAAGGCGGAACGCAAACCCGCCTCAAGGCGCGCCTCGAAGCTTTTTTCCGAAATTCCGCACCGGTGCTAATCCCGATTTTACGCGATAGGCTTTTTTACGCAATTCTTTGAAAGGCGTACGCCATGGGGCGTACGCGCCGGTGCGCGCATTGAGGCTTACGCAATTCAGCAATAAGAATTTAGAAAATTAAACAATTAAAATTTTGGATATTAAAGGTTAAAGTTGTCAATTACTCCAATTAATTAACCCAATTAAGTGTATATATGTTAAAATTAACTTTGTCTAGTGTCGATTACCCAAATTGTTTTGTCGATTGCCTTTCTGCAAGTCTGCAACCCACGAAGCGTCTCCAGCAGTCCAGCGGCTTCAACCTTCTTTCTCCGGCGAAGGTAATCTCTGCGTCTTCTTTTTCTTTCCACTTACGTTGATGGATAATGGATGATGATGGGTGGTGCTTTATTGCTTTTTACAGCTGTCCTGCCTGTCCATGTTTTTTATCTTTTTATAATTGTCAATTTGCTGTTTTTTCTTTTTCTTTTTTTTTTTATATCTTTTCGTGAAGTAGAGTAACATTCAATTGATGTTTTTTATGAGTTTATGATTGATATTTCAAGCCGTTGGACACTGATGATCTTTTTTTCAATTCTTCAATTTAAGCTCATCACTTCGAGCAATATTATGTCTGATTCCATGTTAGACTTTGTTATGTTTGCGATGTATTACTTTGACAATATGCTTTTTTCATATTATTGGATTATTTATGTTATTGTTTTTTTGTTTTAAATTGTTTTGTGAATGTTTTTCAATTTAAAAATTGAGGCTTACGCCTCAAAACGCCTCAAGGCTTACGCCTTACGCCATGAAATGAAAATGCCTCAAAACCGCAATACGCCTTTTCGAACATTGGGAACAAGAATGAATTAGATGGAACTGGAAAAATTAGAAAAAAATGGAAAATCTAAAAAAAAACTTCCAAGAAATGTCATTATTATTAATTTATTGTTATAAATTATTATTATTAATATTAGTATTAATGTATTATTATTATTATCATATTCATAATCACGTTATCTCAATCAATGTTTTAAGATAAAAAAATATTGTCATTTTTCATACACAATATCTACTTTCGCAATTTTTTTAGTTAGAATATAAAGTTATCATAAATATTAAAATGTTAAATTTTAAAAAGTTATTTTGGTTACATTGCACCTCAATTTGTTTATGCATTATTTATTATAAAACAAAATATTTGTAATTACACTTTATAAATTACAAGATTTTGTTTTAAACATCAGATCTGTCCTATTTTGGGAATAAAAATATAGAACTCCTAATTTTTGAATATAGTTAAAAATATGATGTTTTCCTATTTTATGATGTAGATTAATAGACAAAAAATTGTATTATTTATAATAAAATTCAAAGAAAAAATAATAATGAGTGTGAATCGTTAAAATAGTGACATGGAAAACATAAAACTATGAAATAATTTATAAACTATAATTATGAACATATGAGTTGTAATAGTAATAATAATGAAGATAATACTAATGCTAATAACAATGATGATGATAATAATAATAATAATAATAATAATAATAATCACTTCAAAATTACATCGTTTTTAGAGAAATTATTCGGGGAGTAGAAAAAGTTTGAAGAAAATGAGAATATTTGGAAAAAAACTAAAAGAAATTGGAAGGAGCTGATTGAAGAAACTGGAAGTTAAGAGTTTAAACTCTAAAGAACATGCTCTAAGTCCACTAATAGGAAACTACTAATAATGATAATGATGATGATGATATGAATAATCATTATTATTATGATTATTCTAATAAAAACATTAGTGGCCGTATTATTACACCCCACTTGGACAAGCATGTCACCAAGCTTGAAGAGAGATATGATGCACCAGTACTTTCCACGAAGAAGAAAGAATATATCACTGAAGCTTGTCCTCAAGATCTATTACCAAATTGTTATGGACACAATAGTGAGCGTAAAAGAAGATGTTGATCTTTCCCTGCCTGTGTCTAGGAGGGGAGAGCTGTCTGTGAGTAGCTTCTCATTATTACAGATTTGCCTTACAACCATTGATGATCTTATTAATGATTGTGTGAGTATAAATATAAATAGGTAAAGCCTTACAAGAGACCTGCTATAATCATACTAGGAAACATGAATCCTTATATAAGGGGTATGAACTAAACTAGATTAAGACTACTAATAGGAACTAATAATAATAATAAAAGAATAATAATAGTAATAAAAATAACAACAATTATATTAATGACCAATTGACCATATCACCCAGCCCATGTATCCTATGGTTGCCAATTTTGTATTAGTAGTGTGCTCTTAATGCTATCTTTTCCGCCGTCCCAACCTGCGAGAAGAAAAAATAAAAACATTAAACCGAAGGACACTTAGGCGGTAGGGCCTGAGAACTTCCGTAAAAGGAATAACCGAATAAATATCACGTTCTTAGAAAAGCTGACCGATTTCAGTTGTGATCAGGATTTAGAAAGGGAGAAAGCAGCTCGTTTAGATCAAGAGAGGGCAGCTCGTGCTCAACAATCTGTTGTGCCAGATCAAAGTCCAATAGCTGGGCAAAAGTCTGGATTTGAAAATGGTGAGTCCACCAGTTGTAAACATACACAAGCATGCACGAGACTGGGTTTCTCTATGTCTATCAATTTATTTTTGCAGGAAATCTGGCACGTAAAATTTCAAGTGCTAGCAGTTTGAGCAGTATGGAGGAAAGCTATTTTCTGCAGGCATCTTTAGACTTTTCGGAGACCTCGTCTGAACGTAGAAATGCTGGAGAGGTTACTATGAGTCCATACTATGTGAAAAGCATGACTCCAAATGTTTATGAAGCTTCACTTCGTCAGAAGGAAGGAGAGCTTGCATCATACATGACAAGATTAGTATGGTTTCTTCACAAATATGTGCTCTAGTAAAAATATAACACATCTGAAATGTTTCTTGTTCTTGTTTTACTCCTATGAATTATTTTTTTTGCTTTTTCTGATCAACACCAGGCATCTATGGAAGCCATTCGTGACTCTCTTGCAGAAGAGTTGGTGAAAATGACAGCAGAGGCGAGTTATTTCATAAATCATTAATAAGATCTTTATTTTTTGAGTTATTTATGTCTACCTCTATGAGGTTTGGTCCAAATACCAAATGACCATAAGGATTAGGAGTGATTACATCAACCTCGACCTTGTTGAGTTTTTATGCAATTAATAAAGTGCATTTATAAACATCAATTTAATTTGAAGACAGTTTTTGTTAGTATCATTATATCCTATAATCTTTAAAAGGTTAAAAAAGGCCATTTGTAAAAACCATCTTTATTTTCCAGTTCCTTTGTTTAACTAAATTATTTATATCTTTATGCAGTGTGAGAAGCTTAGAGGAGAAGCTGCAATGCTTCCTGGCATACGGGCAGAGTTAGAAGCTCTAAGGCGGAGGCATTCAGCAGCACTTGAGTTAATGGGTGAGCGGGATGAAGAAGTAAGCTGTTTTTTTCACTTTTATTTTCCTAATTACTTCTTGAATTGCCATTAAAAGAGAAGCCTGCTGGCCTGTGTACTTTGTACTGTTACTTATTGGAAATTTTACCTTGCACGCCATGATTCAAATCCATGATAGTGCACCCAAGAATGAGTTCTTTCTGTCAGGCTTTGTACCCCCTGGTTTACCTTCGTATTTAACTCTATGCCCCTCTTAATTCAAATCATGGCACACAAAGTCAAATGTTGGGTTAAGCTGCAAAGCCAAAATGCTTGCTTATTTAATTGGGGTTCTAGTATTAGGTAGTTCATAGAAGGAGAAAGACCATTGAGATCAGGGACCGCTTGTTCAGATTATATGAGGGGCCGAAGTTCTAGGATTTATGAATAAATTTCTAGGGAGTTAATCAGTGGTTTTACTCTTTATGCTGAAGGATTCAGATTTGGTCTATGTTCTCATGGCACTTAAATGTTTGTTGCAGTTGGAAGAACTTCGTGCGGATATAGTAGACCTGAAAGAGATGTACCGAGAACAAGTAAATTTGCTAGTGAACAAGGTATATACCAGTCGCGATTTATTGTTCTCTTGACCCCTTTGGCTTGTAGCTTTGAAATAACCTATCTGCCCCTTGGGGTAGAGGTTAGGCCTGCATACATCCTCTCTCTTCCAAATCCCACTCTTCAGTGGGATATATGGGGGTTGTTTGGTTTGCCTTTTTTTTGAAGGCTTGTTTTGTTTGTCTTAGGGGCTGTTTGTTTCAGCCTCTTAATGGTTCAGCACTTAATGATTAATGGTTCAGACTGTTTGTTTCGTGAGCAGATGTCTGAATGGTTCAGACATTTGACTCTGAATGGTTAAGTATTATACAGAGTCTGAATGGTTAAGACCTCTTATCTGAATTGATCAGACATTTGCCTCTGAATAGTTAAGCAATATACTAGCTCTTAATGGTTCAGACCTCTTACTGGTTCAGCATTTAATGATTCAGACCTCTTACTCGTTTAGCACTTACCTATTCAGAAGTTTCCAAATAGCCTCTTAGCGTATACACTTCATCTGTCCCACAAAAATCTGTCTACTTTCCCTTTTTCGATGACCCAAAAGAAAAAAAAAAACTACCCACTTTTTTTCCGGTATATCGTGGCTCAAAAAGTCTCTCTCTTATCTAAACAGATTTCATTCTCACTTTTCTTAAATTCTGTGAAAGTCAAACCGGAAAGTTTTTTATGGGACGAAGGGGTATATAATATTGAAGTCTTTTTTTCTTTCATTCTTTCTTGCAGATCCAGGTGCTAAGCTCGTCTTTGGGTTCTGCTTGAAGCAACGGCTCCACATCTGACCTCGTTTTGTCTGTTGTATATCCATGGGATTAAATGACAACACTCACTTTTCCTGATTCTGTATGAATATTTCATCGAGTACGGGGAGTAAATCCATCTCTTCTGAAACGCTTCTACTGTAAGAGTGTGTGATATGTTCCTTATTGCATTTGTATAGAATCTTTTCTATTTGGACTTTTGTCTCTTTTCCCCTTCCCCCCTTTTCAGTGTGTTGTACTTTTTGGCATTTGATTAATGGATTTCGTGTAGCTGTTAATAATAGAAATAAGGTAAATTCAAGCTATATTCTCTTCATCTGATCTTATTGGAATAAGTTCTGATCTGGTCTGATCTGAATGTAGTTATATTTAAAGTTATTTCTGATCTGGTTTGGTATCAATAAGAATAAGTAATACGGAGTAAGTAAAAAAATAAGTTGAAGAAAAACATGACCTTAGTCTCTTTTGTAGTTTTCTCGCTGAATTGTACGGAATGTTTGTTTTTTCCAAGTGAAGGTCGAGTGGGAGTATTATATTTGCTCTATGAAGTAATGAAGGATGATGTTCTACGGGGTATAATTTTCAGGCGAGTAAATTCTATAATTAGTCCTTTATAACAGGGGAGTTTCCCTATTTAGTCCTCTATTTTCAAATATTACCCAAATGGTCCTTCTTTTATGGGTACTTTTTCACAAATAGTCTTTTTTTTGATCTTCTATCATGTTGGTGTTAATTTGAGGGCTAAAAGTGTAATTTCACAATGATAATATAACTTTTTTGTCATACACAATTCCAAAGGCTGTTCCGTTTGCGTCCTTTGTGAATTACAGTCGCTTTTTACAACAACTATAGTCTACAAATGTGATCTTTCGTCAGAATCCTATCCCACAATCCTAGTCATTATTTTTGTATTATCCTCTTAACCAATATCAGAACACGTCACTAGACATAATGTTGACGTCAAATTATATTTTTAGCCTTTAAATTAACACCAACGCGGCAGAAGATCAAAAAAAGGACCATTTGTGGAAAGGTACCCTTAAAAAAAGGACTACGGAGGTAATATTTGATAATAGAGGACTAAATATGGAAACCCCCCTGTTATAAAGGACCAATAATGGAATTTACTCTTTTCAGGCCAAACACAAGATTGGTACCCACCATGGCTGGATGCTCACACCATGATTTGTCACACTTAAATGGGAAAAATTTATATGATGGGTTAGCTTATAAGTCTACCAATTATGTATTTTTTGGGTTAGAAGTTGATCTAAAAGCTGTATATACATCAAAAAATAAGTAAATCTTTCATTTTGACCAGATTATTTTCAGACCATTCTCATCTTTTATGAATATCTAAAATAACTTACATATCATTGCGTAAATTACATAATTGGTCATTGATAATATGAGATTTCTATATTTACTCTTCTATTATCAAATATTACTCTTATGGTTTTTCTTTTATAAATGTCTTTCTACAAATAGTCATTTTTTTTACCTACGGTTCAATAGGAACACCTACAGTTTTCCATTTGTAAAAAGTATTCTTCCTACCTCCTAATCCTTGATACTCAGCTCGTCCCTTATGCACATTCTCCAACTGCACCCATCTAATTTTGAGTAAAAAAAATTGTCCATAAAATTAAATAAAAATTCAAATGGTGCAAATGGTGGGGGTGCAAAAAGAACATGCTGGGTACGGGGATTTTTCGAGGGGGTGGGGGGTGGGGGAGGGTGCGAGGTTAGAGGTTAGAAACAATTAATTTTACGATCGGGATACCATAAGTAATCCGATTAAATTGATGTAACTATCTTGCACCAATTCAATAATTGTAAGATTACTCTTCTCTTAATTAATTTATAAGCATTTTATAAATTAAAACGCTACAATCCACACTTCAGCATCCAATAAATCACCCCTTAGGGCATGTTTGATGAGTAAAAAAGATACTCGTATGTGATATCATATCTAAAATATCAAATTTTCAAAAAAAGAGTTTGATGACACAACAAAAGAGTAAATTGGGTTTGGCGGAGGAAAAACGAAAAGTCTATTCCAAGTTATTTTTTGAATATTTTAAGGTGCCACAAAGTATATTTTAAAAAGTAAAGGTATCCAAAAGATTTTACCACAAAATTTGGAGTGCCCATCAGCCATTTTTTTTAAAACGAGTTCATATTCGAAATATTGAGATATGCAATAGAGAAGAGTCCTATTCCATCCGTGTCTTAAATATTGCTACAATTTAATTTTTTGTGCTACCAAACAGTAGAATTAAAATTCGTATCTGTAATTATAGTTCTATAGTTTAAATTTCGTGTACCAAGACGGAGCGTAAGAATAGTTTAATAAACTTTTTATTTTTCACTAATTTTACAATAATTTTTTTTATTTTTAAATTTCAATCCGAAACATTATCACTTGCTTCAATTTTTTGACTTGTTGAATAGGAAAGATTTGTTACACTTGGACGGTTCGACCTCGACCTCCATAGGAATTCTGCGAAACGGGGAACTAAAATAACAGTGAAGCAGGCCTCCCATTTGCTAACGAAACGGACTCCGGTCTCCGGCACACTCCAACGCCTGCCGTCGGCACTACCCATTCAGCCGGCAGCCGCCATTCTGCGACTCATCCGGCAGCCGCCCCGCGATTCAGCCAGCGACTCAGCCTCCTCTTCTTTGTCGAGGTAAATACTGCGGTCTCCTTAGTATTTGTTTCACTTCTTTGAATCAAAATGGTAAAACTTTTATATAGTCATTTGGATATTTTTTTGGATATTAGGAAAAAATGATTTCATTAGATTTATTAAACTAAGATAAAGTTATTTCATTGTATTAATATGACAATATTTCATAGTATAATTGATGATTAAATTTCTAGAACACGTAATTTGTGATTTGTTGAACTATGAATTTTTTTTATTAGGTTAATTCTCACTGTAAAAGTCATTAGAAAAGATCTTAATTAGCTTTCAAGATTTTAAGCAATACAATATTAGGGATCCCTAGGAGTGAGATGATGAACTGACAGCAACACCCAGAGACAGACCATGGAAAGAAGCTTCTGTTCCTAATAGTTACCCTGAAATTCCTAAATCCTAACTAGTTGGATGTTAATAAGCTTCTCTTATCTAAAGCTTGTAATACCAATCATATCTTTTGAAAAAATGTTCAATGTGTTTGTAGATTTCAGTGAATTGATGATTCCATTTAATTTCTTGGATGCCCTAACTTTGATCTCTTTCGAAATTCTAAGTGTGAATTGGATGAGACTTAATGATCGCTAAGAGGAAATGTGATGTTCACTAAATTAAAGTGATGTCTTCAGTAATTATAATTGATTTGTTCACCAAGTGTATTGTCATTGCACACTGGAAAACTTATATACACGGCTTACACGCTAACAAGAAAAAAATTACTCAATAATGAATTGTGAAAGCACTGTTTTTGAAGGCGGGGAGGTTCGGGTGACATTAGTCTCTCATGTCATTCTATGACATGAGCCTCGATTGGAGCATCTACGGTGCTTTGTTCGAAAAATTGATGGTTCTTATCCCCAAACACCCCCGGTAAACCCCCAACCCAACCCAAATGGACCCCCCACACCCCCATTTTCTCCATTCTCTTCTTCCCAGTTTCTCTCCAAAGTCCAAACCGAATCAAAAAAACACTTGCGATCATTCTCTCTTGCTTGAATCTGTTCATCGTTTTCATCCCTATTCATATGCGCTCGCCGTAGATAGATGTTCGTGAAGAAGCTTGTAAAGAAGGCTTCTTTTAATCATAATAAGGTATGTACTCTACTCTGCTCTATTCTCCATCTCTGTTTCCATGATCTGTATGTGTTTTGTTCGAAATTGGATCCGAAATCGAAATGATCAATCGAAGATTTCTGGTTTTCTTCCGAAGTTAAGTTGTTAGAGATTCGCTAGAATGCAGCCTGCCTTAATTCCGCTGATCGAAATGGAATGATCAGATTCCAAATTTAAGGAGTTATTTGATTTTCTGTGTTTTTTTTTTGAAATACTGGAGATTTGAACTGAATATTGCTCGGTGAAACCATGTCGGTTTTCGGATTCATATCTGTGTTTATTAGGTGATCGAACGAACTGTTTTCTGGGTTACGCTATCCCAATTCAAAAAAAAAATGTTTGAAATGCTCGGAAGAATTTTGACTGGCTTGATTGATAAGATAAGAAATTTATTCGATTAATTGGGCCGAATTAAAGAGGATCTGTGATCATTTCCACGTGATTACAGTATCCATTTGAATGGGATTAAAAATGATTAGGATCCGTACGTTACTTGCTCGAATTCACCACATTTCCAACAATGGTTAAAATATTTATTCTTTTAAAGTCATTTTATTTACTAATTGGTAGAAAAATTAAAAGTACAAATCACACCGTTCCAAAGTAAATAAAAAAGGCTTACTACAAAATGACTTGAGGGTGTTTTGAAGTATACCTCATTGTTACATTTGTTAACATCCTTTGTTGCATTGACAGGTGGGAAGTGGTTTGAGATTTTGCAGGCAGGATGGAGGGGAAAGGGGATGGAGTGAGGGAGGAGCGGGTGGTGGAGGCGAGAGCGAGGAACATCAGCCACAACGTTAGATGCACTGAGTGTGGCAGTCAATCCATTGAAGATTCTCAAGCCGACATTGCAATCCTCCTCAGGAAGGTATTTATCTCCATGTCTAACCTTGAAAATTTTTGAACAAGCTGATTTTTTAAAATTACTTGCTTTGAATCAGCTAATTGCTCTGATAATTTTTCATTAATTGTTTTATCGCACCTTCTCCCAAGCTTATTGTGCTCGCACTCTCGCAGAGCTTTCTACCATTTTTGCATTTCCTCTCAAGGTCTGTTTGAAACCCTAAAATACGAAGGAAAATAGACATGGGATTTAGAAGGAAGGAAAATGCAGGAATAATTAAAAAAGTTCAATTAGTTCAAACTCATCTGTTGTGGTATTTCTATTACCATTATGTAAATACTCATTGTCAAGCCTACCCATTGGTACTAATTTAAATATATGCAATAAAAAAGTATGAACTTAATAAAATTGGATTTTCTTCAAGCTAAAATAAAACATTAAAACCTATTCATCTTAGCATGTTTTTCCATTTACCCTTCATTTTCTGAGTTCCAAATATCGCCTTAGTTTTTTTCCGAAAAAAGAAGAAGAATCACCTATTCGAGATGCTCATGTCTTGCAGTAATGCAGTCATGTAAGAGTAGTAGAGATTGAACTCAACTACTTTGTATATATGAAGATATTATGAACCATATTTCTGTCAAGAACTGTCTTGTGGAGTACTTTCGTGTGTCCTTTCTTAATCTGCTTCGACACTGTTGACGATATGTGATTCCTTTTTTCTTGTTCAAACAGTGGCCAGTGCTGTAAATTATAGATACTTTTCATTTTTACTTCACTTCAGACTTCTAGTAAATACGAGCACTGGATTGAACGTAATTTCCCGAAAACAACTCTGCGGGATAATTATATCTTTTTTTTCTTAATATTTTCTTGAAGATCTTCCTTTTTGACTGGTATTACTCGCATTCCTCTCTTTTCTATCTGGAGTTTATTTAATTCCCTTGGAGGTTATATACATTTAGTTAATTCGAGATGAGATCCGTGCTGGAAAAAGCGATAAAGAAATCTTCAAAAAACTTGAGGACGATTTCGGCGAGACGGTACTCTATGAGCCAAAGTTTGATCTGCAGACAGCGGCGTTGTGGCTATCTCCGGTCAGCTTTACCCACAGCTGAACTTTTCTCTTAACTGTTTCACCTTCTGTACGATTCAATGGTTAAAAAAGTAATTTTTTTTTGGGACAGCTTTTGACTGCAGGGGCTGTTGGAGGGGCATGGGTTTTCCAAAGACACAGAAGGAAGACTAATGTACACATCATGGCTTTGAATCTCATCAGAGGGGTCCCGTTAACGCCGAAGGAGAGAGAGACAATGCTTAAGGTCCTCACTCCTCCCCCTTCTCACCATTCTCCCATGCATTGGTGGCGGAGATTGCTCCGACAGTGAAACAACAAACATGGGTCTGAAATCTGTTGTCATTTGGTCCATTTGGGATCTAATGTATGAGCTTTATTTGGCTGACATTTGGGGGTATACCTAAATGAATTACTCCCTTAGTGTCAAAGAAAGAAACTTTTTGTGTGTAGTTAATAATGTTTTTGAATTGTGAGTCCCTAATGCTTTGAGACAACAAGATTTGGACACCATCTTATGAGCCTAATTATAGTATTGGACTGGTTGGAGTAAGATGGGATGCAAACCTAAAAGAGAAGAAGGCAGCTACTGGCCAACCTGCTGCCACTTGCTACACTATTTAGAAACTGAGAAATAAGAAGATTCATAAAATTGGAGTGAACTGTGAAGCTGTCATTAAGCACATTCTATTCTGTGTTAAATCCTATTGTGAATTTAAGTTGTGGTAGATGTTGGTCTTTGATATTTCTCCCCCTTCTGTTGTAAAAAAAACTTTCTCGCTTGTTTTGAAGTTGAATATAATGTGCATTTTGTTCAAAAAAAAATGAATTTGAGAAATATTGGGGGTTTGATATCTTTCTCAAATGTTAATCATTTCCTGTCACCGACTACCATTATCATTGCCAATCACCCCTTCACTCATCACTAATTAAATCATGATTTTTAAATCACACCAAACAAATTTGTTTCAAATTTCAAAACTCATATTATTTTTCTTATATTTCATAACTCATATATTATCATTTCTCATAGATTTCAAAACTCAAATCATTTTTCGCGTCTCACAATTTTCTCTCTTTTTGATTAAAAACACGCTTTTACTCACTTACGTATCCCAATTCTTACCTAATCTATCACATCATACATATTTACTTAAAATTTATCTATCATATTCTACTTTTACTCATTACATCAAATATATTTTAAAAAAATCAATACAAACATTTCATTTTTTTTTAAATTTTTAAGAACTTTGAAAGAAGGCAGAAGGAATGAAATGATTTATGTGGCCAAAATGGACGGTTGTGATTGGCCAGCGGAGAACATATCTCAACCATGGGGATAATGCAAAAAACGTGTGATAATTGAAAAGTCAGTCTTCTTTCTTCTCTTTCTCTTTCTCTTCTTCTTCTTCTTCTTCCATGTGAATAGCAACCTAGCTAGCTTACTAAGCTACTTGGGAAGTGTTTTTTGTTCCAATCGAATCAGAAGAATTGAAATAATGGGAGGAGTTGAAGGCAACCCAGAGATGATTATGGTTCAACCCGTGCCTTCCCATGCTCCCAGACGCCGCCCGCCTTCTTCCACCGGCGTCCAGTGGACCACTGGATTATTTGATTGCCATCAAGATCTTAACAATGGTCACTCTTTCTACTTTATCACTAGTACTTACCTTTTATATATTTCAACAAGGTTCCGTTGACACTGGACAAACGTGTCATATATACTAGTGCCACTGCGTTTTTAGAGCACCTCTGTTCGCAAATTTGGTGGGGAGAGTGGTAGGGGTGAGTTTGGGATGGGGTTCAGGGGGTTAGGGGGCAGGAATCATCTATTTTACATTACAAACAGAGCACCAGAGGTGCTCAAACAACCAGTGACACCGTTGGCCAGTGTCAACAGAACCGCCATCTATATATGTACATTATTTTCATGGTTTTTTTTTTTCGAATTTTGCACGAGAAGCCTTAATATTTTTAAAATTAAGTGGCAGTAAGATTAGGGGTTAGAACACTTAAAATCTTGGTTAAAAGGTTGTGATATGATACTATATGTTTCAATGACTCAACTCAACTGAGCTTAAGTTTATAATTGTAGGCTTAAGAAATGTTATTTATATGCTCCCTCCTCCGTCCCAAAATAGATCTCAGTGTCACTATTACGGCTTATCGATAACTTTCGTTTATTCGTGTGTTTTTATTGATCATAACAATGGTCACTCTTCCTACTTTATTACTAGTATTTACCTTATATATATATGAACAAGGTTCCGTTGACACTCGAAAAACATGTCATACTAGTGCCATTGGGTTTTTAGAGCACTTTCGTTTGCAAATTTGGAGGGGAGGGTGGCAGGGGTGGGTCTGGGGTGGGGTTGGGGGGTAGGATTTATTTTGAAAACAGAACACTGGATGTGCTTAAACAACTAGTGACACCGTTGGCCAGTGTCAACAGAACCGCCATCTACATACGTACAATATTTTCATGGCCTTTTTTCAAATTTTGCACGAGAAGGCTTAATATTTTTAAAATTAAGTGGGAGTAAGATTAGGAGTTAGAACACTTGAAATCTGGGTTAAAAGGGTGTGATATGATACTATATATTTCAATGACTCAGCTCAACTGAGCTTAAGTTTATAATTGTAGGCTGAAGAAATGTCATATATATGCTCCCTCCTCCGTCCCAAAATGGATGCCGCCATTACTACTACGGCTTATCGATAACTTTTGTTTGTTCGTGTGTTTTCATTGGTCATTTAATAAAGCAAAACATTCTTGTCACTTCTTGTTTTGTAGAAATTTTGAAGCATTTTTAAAACGATGTAATTTAAACATTTTATTTTTATATCAATTTATGATAAAAGTGATTTTTAAAAACGATAGGATTTTGCACGTTTTTAGAACGAGTGTGGTATTCATTGTGGGACGGAGGTGGTATATTCAAACAAATATTATGTTTACTTTGTCATGACAGCTTGTATGACTGCAATTCTCCCATGCAAGACATTTGGTCAGAATTCTGAGATCCTGAACAACGGAGTGATGCGTAAGTAGCAAAATCAATTCAACCAAAAGATTAAATTTGCAATTTGAGAACGAAATGTTTTATACTCTAAGACGAGTAATTTGACAATTTTTGTTAAGGGTCCGTTTGGTATACAGAATTGACGAAATTAGAATTGAATTGGGAGTTGAAATTCTATGAAATTGATTTGGATGGAAATGAATTCTACAATTCCAATTCACTTTTGGTACTATCATTTCGAAATCTACATATTTTTGTGCTACCAAACAGCAGAATTGGAATTGTTGTGTCATCAAATCCAATTCTATAGTTTGAATTCCGTGTACCAAACGGAGCCTAAATCTCTGATGAGAAATTGAGGTGAGGATTTGGTTGTTGTGAACATTGATTATTGCAGCATGGCCAGTGGCATCATTGGTATACCTGGTGTTGATGCCTCTTCTGTGCTCCCAATGGGTAATTGGATCAAGGTCCAGAACCAAGCTGAGGCAGAGGTTCAATCTGGTTGAAGCTCCATTCTCTGATGTTTTCTCTCACATTTTCTGCTCTTGCTGCTCCCTCTGCCAAGAGTTTCGGGAGCTCCGAAACAACGGCCTCGACCCCGCCAAAGGTATGATATATTATTCACCACGCCGCCTAACGGTAGCCATAAGACATTCAGGTCGAACCACATGATCGATTAGATAGTTTGACTCGATATCGTACTCCCTCTGTCTCTTTCGATAAACAATTCCACATTCATTTTTCTTGCATCCCACAAAATACTTCTACCCCCATCTAAAATCTTTGTGATTACATCTCATTTCTCTTTTTATTGCGGGTATTAATTATTTTGAAGATATTTTAGACATTTGATGTCCGAAACAACGGCCTCGACCCCGCCAAAGGTATGATATATATTATTCACCCCGCCGCCTAAAGGTAGCCATAAGACATTTGAGTCGAACCATACTAAATGATCGATTACATAATTTGACTCGATATCTCACTCCCTCTGCGTGTAAACAGTTCCACGTTCATTTTTTCCGCATCCCATAAAATACGTCTGCTCCATCTAAAATCTCCATGATTACTTCTCATTTCTCCGTTACTGCGGGTAGAAATTGTTTTGGGAGTATTTTAGACATTTGAGATTGGATAGAAGTATTTTGTGTTGAAAATTACAAGTTTAGAGCGGAAAAAAATCCAAACTTATAATATGTTCGGATTTTACAATTGGAAATAAAATAAAATAAAATAAAAGTTGCCGGTGGTCGGAAGTTGAATGAAAAAAAAGGAAAACAGAGTCGCCGGAGCTTTCCTTAATGTAGTATCGCCCTCACCGAATTTATCCAAAGTTGTCCCGTTACAAGCCAAAGATTCCAACATTTTATGGGATGCGAAAAAAATGATGTAATTGTTTTTCGGAACGGAGGGAATATTATCTTCTTTTCAAAGTTCTAATATGAGACTGATATATTATGTGCAGGATGGAATGGTTTACTTAGTGAGCAGGAGATGAGCACTCCTCCCCCACTCCAATCCATGTCCCACTAGAGAGACATTCATTTCCCTTTTTCTTCTTGTTGCTTGTAAGTTGGTCGCCATGGACTTGCAACAACATTAGTTAAAAAACATTATGTAAAGGATTATGCTATGTCTCTATTATACTAGTCCAAGAATATCTTTAAATTCTAAAGCAATATTTTGAAATTCGGACTGATCTGGCCAGTCGGACTGCGGCCCCAATGCTCGGCCCGTCCGAATCAATGATGAAAGTCGATGAAATTTGAACGAAATTGTTACTATCCGAACCAGGGTCGACTCGGCCACGTCGCGGGTTTTGATATACAACTATTTTTTTTCCTTTGATTTATTGGTTGTATCTCAAGGTATAAAACAAAACAAATTGATGTACAATCATATGTATCGTTTCTTACATGGGTGCATTTGAAATTTTTTCCAATTATTCAGAAAAAAAATCTCGCATTTGGTTTAACGTTTTCAAATTTAATCTAAATTATTAAAAAATTATTTAACGTGACTCCTTGTGAACACCGTCCCTCTTTGGCGGTGAGTTACTTCCGTGCGTGGTGCCGTGGCCGTGCTCACTCAAAGAAGGCAGCAAGGGTGGCATTTTTTTTTATTTTTTTCCATTTAAGTTGTCTTAAGTAATGTCTATTTTTCTTATAACTTTTTATATGTAAGTCATTACTTGACAAAAAATATACCGTTGGAAATTTTTTCACAAGATCTATCCGAGAACACCAATTTTGAATATATAATTTTGACATTATATCTCACTTATATTTTCAGCCAAACATTTTTGAATTTAACGAACTATGTTTGAATATATGTTATATGAAAAAGTCTTCTTACACCATTTTGTTTTTTATGCTATAAAAAAGTAAAAGAAAAAATTAAAACAAAAAAATAGTTGATTGAGAAAAAAAACAAAAAAAACAAAAAATGGTTTGACCAGAAAAAACAAAACAAAATAAAAAACCAAACACATTTATATAATTAAAAGACATGAACATAGGGTATCAATGGCTTTTTGGGATAAACTTTCCATTCCTAAACATAAATTTATCCTCTAGCTTATTTGTAGAAACAAAATTCAGACTAAAAGCAGATTGAGCAAATGACTTCCAATTGACACTCAATGCTTGTTATGCCAAAATGTTGTGGAAGATAGACATCATCTTTTTTGCACTTGCCCCTATACTAAGGAGTTTTATATGAGAGTCTATGTTTGGAGTCAATACCATTTTGGTGGAGGCAAATTTTTGAGCAACTTCAAGGTATTGTTCAATGAATAAGAGAAGGAAGATTATAGCAATTTTTGCTACTTGTGCTTACTATTTTTGAAAAATCACAAACTTAGTCCTGCACACAAATATTCTTACTTTGATTTAGAAAGCTGCTCACTGGATTAAATACAATGGAGGTACTTATTTAAACTCTAAGTTTCAACCACAATGTGTTGTTTTTCTGGATTTGATTAGTTTTGGCAACTTTGTAATTGTTATGTTGGTTTTGTAGATGATGTTTGCTTTGTTGTTTTTTCTTGGTAGTGATTATACATTTTTGAGAAAGATTTGATGAATATATTTGCAATTGGTTAAAAATAGGAATGTTGAAAACATTCCAAAATTAAAAAAAGTCTACAGATATGAAGTGAGTGAGAAATATAACCTTAGACATTGTTTGGTACACAAAATTCAAGCTTTGAAATTAGAATTAAGGATAATTATCTAATTCTGCTGTTAGGTAATATAAAAATAAGTAGATTTTGAATTGGTAGGACCAAAAATAACTTGAAATTAAATAATTTAATTTTACCTAAATCAATTGCATACAATTTTAACTTTCAATTCAATTTCAATTAAACTGGCGCTTAAGAATTCAAAATACAACTTCAAATCAAAATGCTCTCAAACTCCCACCGTGTTCAGGCTACAATCCGATCACCGGAGCCGCCGGAATCCGAAACAAAGAGTTGGGTTGTAGGAAGTGGACAAAAAAAGAACGGTAAAAAATTCAAACCCTATCCCCACCTAACCCTTCACGATGAATCCTTGACGATCGCAGTAATTGCCACCAAAATTTCCGCTCGCCTTTACCACTAAGATTTACCGCGATTTTCCCATCTCCTAACTACCTTCTGCAGCTACTCGCTCATGTATTATGAGCGCATTTAAGGCCTCCTTCTTCATCCGAGAGCTCTACTGCCCCAACCCTTTTTATACCCGATTCATTTCTCGTCAAGGCCCGAGCTTTGCATTTTCCCAGTCTCGATTATACTCTTCTTCTGGTAAGTGAACTGATTTTGATCTATTTTGTGTATCTGTATCTGCAAGTGGGAGCTTTAATGTTTTTAAGCATGTTTGTGATTCCTTGATGTTTGGAGGACACTAAGTTCTTGTCTAGGGGTATGGGTTGTGATAGAATTCATATTTGGATGAGGTAATAGCCAAACAAGGCTAAATTTGAATCGGTTCAATTAGCTAGTTTAACCCAAATTTAGGATGGTATTCTTGTTCTTGAACGAGTAGTTTTAGTATATTAAGTCATCAATAACTGTCAAGAATTTACATTCTTGATTGCCAGTGTCCTTTTTGATTCCCCTTACTTTTAGTCTTTCTTCACTAGTACAACAGTGTTACCTGATTTTGAGGCATCTTTTTAATTCCGTCTGTAGTTCAAAGGTATACCTCAAATATGGATCTGCTTAAAGAAGTAGCCAGCAAAGGAACTGATTCTGCAGGGAGAATTGCAATCAATGCTGATCAGAAGTCATGCAGTTACCTCCAACTGATCTCATGTGCTAAGAGGATTTGCAGTCTGTTAACAAATCTCGATCTGAAAACCGTGAGTTGAATTCACTCAACTCTTCTCTCTCTCACTGTATACAGTTTAAATGCCATCATAATCTTCATATACTCTGTATGTTACTTCATTATTCAAAATGGGGGCTATATTTTTAGAAATTGATTTGCATAATAAAAAATGATAATCATAGCTTGCTGCAATAGAAACACGTGTTCTATCAATTGGTCTCAGTTTTTTGATATTATTGTTGTTGTTATTATTATTACTATTTTTGTTGGTATTATTATTATTACTACTCTTATTACTATTAGGTGTTTAATGTTTAAGTATTCTAGAATTTACTTCGTAACATCCATCATATAAGAGATGGACTTCCTAAGAATAAAACCTAGACACTAAATTCGAATGTGAATGAATGAACCCCGGGTTGTGTGTTATACTTGAGTGTGTTCTAACTTCTAAGGCCTTAACTTCTTTTAGCACTTTTGGGTAGAGTGGTGGTGCAGTAGAATCATCCCATGGTATATATTGAGTTTAATCAAACCTTTTTCTTTCAATTTAATGTTGTTAGCTCCACTAACTCACACCCATTGGGGCAACCTTTTCTGTTTTTACTTAAAAGTTACATTCGATACCAGTTTCCTTCCTTTGCTTGACTTCAGTTGATGGTTTTACAAACAAAAGCATATGCTGTCTTGTAGGAGGATAAGATTAGGCAGACTAGTGATCTTGGTGGAGCAAGAATTGGAATCATAGCCAAACCATGTGCTGAGTTTGTTGCGGCAATACTTGGTACTTGGCTCAGCGGAGGTGTTGCAGTCCCTCTTGCTCTGAGCTACCCAGAAGCTGAGCTGCTGCATGTGATGAATGATTCGGTTTGCTCTTTGATCCCTCAATGCTTTTCAATCTAGTTCACAAGCTTCAAAGAAAAAAACTACTCTTTCTTATTTTTGTGGTTGCTATATGTGGATGCTTTTAATTTTACACATATTACATTTAATTAGATTATTTCACTTTATAAATACCATGGGGCTCTTTGACACCGACCTTCTTCGTTGTCAATTATGACACCGAGGCTATTTGGGGGCCCTACAGTGCTCAGTTGGGCCCCAAACCAGGTCCCTACTCCCTAACACCCCACAAACCCCACCCCTACCGTACCCCTCCTCCCAAATCACGTGGTGTCATATTTTGACACCCAAGACTGGTGTCAAAAGAACATGAATTATTGCCTCCGTCCCAAAAAGAGCCTAGTTTATAATATTGACTTCAGTATTACATACATGACTATTGTTTTCATGTTCTGGGGATGGGGTAGTAGAAGGTATATCCTGGTGCTTTATCCCTCTTGTTGATGATACTTATGCTCTGCTTGGTAACCTCATTTTTCAGGATACTCATTTGCCATTTTTTTGCCATAGTGTCATCTAAATTGGCCTTTAATAAAAAAAAAGAAAAGTACAGATATTAATTCTTTTAATACCTAAAGTGGCGGAAATGAAAATAACTTGGAAACAACCTCTTCTCTCTCTAGGTAGGGGTAATGTCTGCCTACACTCACCCTCCGCAGACCCCCCCCCCCTCTGTGGGATTTTACAGGGTTTGTTGTTATTGGTTGAAATGAAAATAAATTATACTTCTACCTACCCTTTCAGATGTTATTTCCTGTAATTTATAAAATTATACATTTCCACTCCATTTAGTCCATCCATCCCTTCCAAATTTAGTTTGCTCAACTAAATTCACTCCCACTAGTACTTCAGCTTAAATGTAACATATACTTTACATGTATACAACATTCTCACTCATTTGGTTATATATTATCTCTCCATTTGACTGCTAGGACATCTCTATGATATTGAGTACCGAAGATCATCATGAACTTTTGAAGAGTATTGCAGTTAAAACTGGGGCTCAGTTGTCTCTCCTTCCTACCATTCCAAGCATGCATTCACTGCCCCCATCTGATCATAACCAATTGCCAAAATCGGAAAATTGTGATGATGGAGGTTTATTAAAAATAGAGTTCTCCCACAACATTAAAGGTTGGCTGGACTTTAAGTTTCTGCAATTTATATTTTCTTCGTAGGAAACAGTAATATTTATTCATCATATGATGTAGGTGAGGACCCCGCATTGATATTATACACCAGCGGTACAACAGGGAGGCCTAAAGGAGTTGTGCACACACACAAAAGCATCCTAGCACAGGTCTATATTTCTTTCCAAACCAGAATAGAAAAGATTGAATCTAATAGATCAAATAGTTTAATCCAAATTCTTATAAACCTTATAATATTAAGATTTGAGTTTCCATCCTGAGAGGTAACCTGATAGGAGTAATCCAATGCTTTATATGCTGGTTTGTGTTCCGGCAGGAATAATATTGCATATAAGCTTTGTCTACTTTCCCATGGAGTAACAGTGTAACACTTCATATGATTTTTTCTATTCAGGTCCAAATGTTAACAGATGCATGGGAATATACATCTGATGACCACTTCTTGCATTGTCTACCCCTACATCATATCCACAAACACCACAATTGTTTATCTCTTAGTCAAACCTCTGTTTCATTTATGTCATTCATTCATGTTTATAAGCAAGCTTCATGGAGCTGATCCTTAACTTCTAACTTTACACGTTCATGGGCTTTTCAATGCTTTATTGGCCCCTCTCTACGCTGGATCTAAGGTAACTTTTTCTACATATGGAATTGCCAATGTACTTGAAACTTCAACTGTACCTACATCATAGATACTCGCCTACTTTGCATTTTGCAGGTTGAATTTCTTCCAAAATTCAGTGTGAGGGGAGTATGGCAGAGATGGCGCGAATCATATCCAAGTGATGGGACTAAATCTCATGATGCCATTACAGTTTTCACTGGTGTAAAGTCTTGCATCTGGATTTTAGATATATGTAGAAACTGCTATGTTCAAATATAACATCAGTGGTTCAGCCCCCACCCCCCACTACACACACACCTTATATAGCTAAGATATATTCTCCTTGTTTTTTTGTAAGCTAACACTTCACATCTTGCTTCTCACACCATACAGGTTCCTACCATATATACACGATTAATACAAGGTTATGAAGCAATGGACCCAGAATTACAATCTACTTCTGCTTCAGCTGCAAGTCACTTGCGTCTTATGGTAACCAATAGTTAATCAGAGAAGGGTGGGTGGGATGGGGTAGGGGTTGAAATTTTTTGTATTTAATTATTGAGATAATCAATTGATTCATTAATTCGCTTGTCCTATACTTCCAGATGTGCGGCTCATCTGCACTTCCACTTCCCATAATGCAACAGTGGGAAACAATCACTGGCCACCGCCTCTTAGAACGATATGGCATGACTGAAGTATGTTAAATCATGTCTTTTTTATGAACACTAGTTTGTGAACAATTACTACTATTTTACTTATAATCTTGCACTTAAATCTCATATTTTATATAGTTTGTCATGGCAATCTCTAATCCCTTAAAAGGTAACCGCAAAGGCGGCACCGTTGGCAAGCCATTTCCTGGTGTGCAGGTATGCGTTATTTATTTTATTTCTATTGCTCTTAAGGACATAAGTTGTAGCTTTGCACTCTTAAGGCAAGCCATACATAAGTTGTATGTGCCTTTTTTGACTAGCTAAATGGTGGTAGTTAACTTTGTCTGATCAAACTTGAGTCTTTTTTAAGGACAGTATTATATTTGAAACATAGACTTTTTTGGGACAGAGGGAGTATTAAATGACAACAATACCTCTATTAATGTTCTAAATACTATGTGGCGTTTACGGATGGAGAAGATTAACCAGTGAAAAATAAGCAGTGAGCTCATCATCTTCTAAAGCTACAATTATTTGGGAACAGATTTTGTTTCTGTATAGCGGCCGTTACTAAATAGGAAAGGGAGTAGTTTATGTAGATTGTCATAGAAAACTGATTTCCATGAATTTCATTCGCTTTTTTTAGTGACAATAAATAACTATTAGCATACCAACAGCCAATATTACTGCAAAGTCATAGTCTCTGTAAAGTGACCATTTCTTGGTTTCTGATAGGTCAAGATCCTTTCAGAAGATGGTGGTGCTGATGATACAACTGGGGTTGGGGAGCTATGTGTAAAAAGCCCTTCACAGTTTAAAGAATATTGGAAGCTTCCTGAGGTATGCCCTATGCGGCTATGCCCTGTTATTCATAAAGTTTTCCGATCACTTTGAGCTCCGTTCTTTCCCCTGTCTGATAGCACATGTTTCCCTATAGTTTCAGTAACTTTACACCTTTTGTGAAATATTAGGTAACGAAAGAGTCATTTACTACTGATGGATTTTTCAAGACTGGAGATGCTGTTAGAGTGGATGAAGATGGATACATCATCATCTTGGGCCGTAAGATTTTTTTTATAACTCCATTCACTCCAGATTTTTTGCAAAAACTTTGCCGACTCATCCTAACAAATTGACCTTGTAAAAATTCCCATGTAGTTTTTTTTACAACGTTGAGAAAACTGTCCTATAGTTGGGGTTGAAGTTCTAATTGCTAATAGTTCAATGTATACTATAATTCATCAAGAAAAGACGCGAGTTTATAAGGTTTCAAACATCCTGTTGTTGCTAGACTAGCCAATCCATCGAATTTCATTGATTTGGTCCATGTGCATTATGACAAAGCTCAACGATCCCAACCCAATTGTGAATATTTTCTTGCAATTGACTAATTAATTAGATTCATTATGACTCTCTTATTTGTTTTAATTTAAGAGAAGTGTTACTCTGCATAGAAACAGTCAAAAAGACATTAGATCACCTCTAGACCCTAAGCACAACACATTTCTTTTTCAGGTACAAATGCAGATATAATGAAGGTTGGTGGATATAAGCTATCTGCACTGGAGATAGAAGCCGTTCTTTTGGAGGTTTCCATTTTCCTTGCAATAACCTTTCTGAATCCATCTATGTCACAAAATGCTCTTAAAAGTACTGCCACATCATACTAACTTTCAAAAATATGTTCACGAAGAATGATCTTTTTGGTCAAAGATACCATTCCAAGATTGTAAATTTACCTTCAAACCCTTCAATCCTTCATTCTTTAATACAGCATCCAGGGGTATCAGAGTGCTGTGTGTTGGGCTTACCTGATAAAGACTATGGGGAAGCTGTGTGTGCAATAGTTGTGCCAGATGAGGCAGAGCTTAGGGGGAAGGGTGCGTTAGAATCAAAATCTGCTCTCACCTTGCAACAACTTTCTGATTGGGCCAAGGACAAACTTGCCCCTTACAAGGTATCTTCCATGTTTGAATTTTCTTGGATTACACTCTGGTTTTTAAAACATATTTTTAAAAAATTAATCTTTCCATCAAGAATCTTTTTTCCCCCTTAAATTATCTTTCTCGTTGTTTAGTATTTGCACCATCGCATAGAGAATAACCATGAGGCATGAACACATTTTGCAGATACCGACCGCTCTCTACTTGTGGGAGTCACTGCCTCGCAATGCAATGGGAAAGGTAATATACGAACTTGGGACGAGCCAGGAAACCAATTCGTTCATGATTTTTTTCTAAAACTCAAATATTTTCTTCGCATAAAAAAGAACCCATATATGAAGATTAAATGCCTTTTTTCACCTAAAACATCTTTCACCTATGAAGTTATGATCAACATAACAAATTCTCAATTTGGGACCTCAAAGAATAGAATTACCAATTCTTTGTGTTGGTGCTAGGTGAACAAGAAAGAGCTGAAGAAAATTTTGATGGATGAGGTAAAAGAAGTGGCGACTTGATAAAAAAAACAGGCAGAGATTGAGAAATGCCAACAGTCAACAATGGTAAATAGAGCTCTTGGAAGAGTCCCATTACACATTCTGATTTCTGAGCAGCATACATTATATTATGCACCACTGGCAACCCATTATTCAAAATTGAAGACCCAAATTTACTCATTTCTCCCTTTTTTTGTTTATAGTTTCTTGAACGTCCCAACAGAAAACAAGTGAGTCTATTATAGTTTCCTACTAGCAGTAAACGAGTGCCGCCAATATATACTCCATTTTTAGTAAACGCATATTTTTAGTTTTCACTTTATTATGGGATGGAATGTGCTTTAGCTAGTATTTTAATTTATTTAATAATGTCCGGCCTAGCCTGGCCTGTAAATGCGGGGCCCGCGAACTTGGGGGCATGGTATGACCTTCATTTCTAAGACCATGGTGTTCCGGGATCAAAGCCGTGATGGCCACGTCGGCAACAGGAACACGATCCCCTCTCCTATGAGCAGACCTGGCAAAACGGTAGGTCAATTCGTGTTCGGATTTGGGTCTAAGAGTGCTTGTTCATGGCTTAGAATTATCGGGTTTGGATTGATCCAATAGGTTATGAGACGTATATAAAAATTGAAATTTTTTTCATTTAGAGATGAGTGATGAACACATTCCTCAAAACAGAGAACAAAATCATTCAAACCAACAACATAAAAGTAAGCATAGCAAAAAAATGTAAACATCATCACGTCCCAAATGAACAATCCAAGCACACTAATCAAAATACCAAATAATTTAGAGTTCAAACAAAATGATTAAATGTTCCTTCTCAAGTGAAGTCATCCTTCATCTCAATTGGAAGCTTATCAAGACTGGTACGCCTGAAATCCAACTCAATGCCTTCTTCAATTTTGTCACCTTCATCTACATCACACATTACACATATATGAAGATTTAATTTGTAAGTGTAAAATAAATTGAGGCTTATATATTAAATTACCTTAATCAACATCATATCCAAATATCCAACTACGAGTGGTAATCAAAGCTTCTGCATTCTCATGCTTAAGTGATGCTCTCCACTCTGTTAAAATCTTACCACATAAGCTTACATCAGGGAATCTTTTAGCATTGTCCTTCCACCAAGAACATCTAACTTTTCATTACAGTCCACCTTAAGTTCTTCCAAATACAAATCCAATTGGGATTTACACTTAGAAGTTGTCACTCCATCAAATGCTAAAAAGCCTACATAAACATTTAAAAAGAGAAGTGGATAACAAAAACTAAAAAATTGTGAATATAAGTTTATTGTGTAAAAATAATGAATGAACATAAATATTATGGACTATTATATTGAAATTCTAAACAAATAAGAAAAACTCCCCCCACCCACCCCCCTTCCCTCGCCCCCGACTACCGCTCCCTCAAACCCTATAAATTGAAGCTCTATTATAAAGATTCGATATCGACCCTGTATGCACTTAAAAATGTTTGAATGCATTTTTCATATTAATAATAATGCTATTATTATTATTAGTATTTTTACATGCGTATATAATAATTTACAAATGATAAAACCAATTAATGTTGATATTTTAGATAATTTTTTAATTATACAGATTAATTTTTAAAAAAATTTAAAACCAAATATTATTATTAAATAATGTTTTTAATGTGTTAAAATTAAATTTGAAGCTCTTATAAAACAAGCATTTAATTTACAACAAATTTCGTGTGATAAGTGGAGATGTGAAGCTCTTATAAAACAAGCATTTTATTTACATTAAATTTGGTGTGATAAGTGGAGATGGTGACATGGAATCCATTATTTACACAATAAAATTCAGTATTTTATTGTGCGTTGACTTTGGGTTTAGCAAAAAGCAATATATACCATATTTGAATATTAGGTCGAGCATCTTTGAATGAATTGATGATGAAGATGAACCCTAGCTAGCCCTTTATAATCATTAATTATTATACCATAAATTTTTTAAGTATTTATTAAATTTGACTTCTTACAGATAAAACTAACAAATTTGGTCACTAATTAAATAAAAATTTACATATGTAGCTAAGGTTCATATAGAGCATCTCACATATTTTTTTTTTAAATTTTAAAAATGCTTACTTCAACACTAAAGAATGCTTATTTAGTATATGATGGTCCACCATAACCTTAGCTGCATGCTTATTTAGCACTAAAAAATGCTTAATTTTGAATATGCTTACTTCAACACTCAAAATTTATGTGAGAAAATTCACAAAAATAGGATGCACCTAAGGTGCATCATAGAAGCATTCGTAATAATTTACCCAATATTATATATTGATACAAAAATAATTTTATAAGACTTGTTTTATACCACATAATTTTTATTTAATTTGAAGTCAAAAATTAACAATGATTGACAATAAAATGTCAAAAATGAATACTACCTCCCTCTCAAAGTTTTTGTCCAGTTTGACTTTTTCGAGTCAAACTGGATGAACTTTAAGCCTTAAATAAATAAAAACTAAAATGTATATTACTATAAAAATGATTATTTTAATATATTTAACTTGTTTTGAACTTGCAAAAATTTATTTTATTGTGATAATATGCAATAAAAAACGAGAGTAATTGATGATTAATACTCCCTCCGTCCCAAAAAGATTTACACGTTTCAAAAAAATTGCGTCCCACAATCCCTTACCCATTTCTATTAAAAAACCACTTTTACCCCTTACTTTTTCAAACCCTACATATCACATCATACCTTTTTCCTAATAATCTACACATCACATCCTACTTTTACCCATCATATCAAGGGTATTTTTGGGAAGTCAACACAAAATTATCACTCCCTTAATTTCAACTTTAGTCAAAATGGGTAACACTTTATGGGACGGAGGAAGTATTTATCTAGTTTGATTCAAAAAAAGGAGAATAGTCAGGCACAAGGTAGTATATCACCTATCTTTTCTTTTCTTAGTGGAATTCCATAATGGAAAAGCTCAAAGTCTACCTTAGCTTTTTAATCATATTGTTTCTTTTATCGACCACATTCTTTTTAATTAGAAATAATGTGCTCGACTTCATCAACTGTCTTGCTATATGAAAAAAAGGGAAAAGTTTTTATTTACGCGATTAAACCGCTTGATATTAAAAACTTGGGAGCTAAAAATCAACCTGGCTACTTATTAGAGTAAATGGAAGGGTAATTTAAGCAAATGAGATTTAAACATATCACTTTTTTCTAAACATGACAGTCTTATCTACTCTATCGTTTGACAATGAAAAATTTTAAAATGTCTTGTATTTGAGAAAAATAACTTATTCCATAATTCAAGTAGAATAAGATATTATTAAAAACAAATTGAGTAGTCATTGAAATAATCAGTCATTATCCAAAACTTATTTCTAATGATCACATTCGTAAAGCTATTCGTATAATCAGTCATTATCCAATAACATTTGTTGCTAACGAGGACATATATGACAGATCATATAAAATTATGTGTCTTAAAGGAAATGAAACATATATACTTAGTCCTATTCAGAAAAACATATACCTTATCTTTTAGTTCTATAAGGTACATTTTGATCTCAAATTAAATAAAAATGATATTAGATTTTGATACAAAAATAGTTTTATTAGATTTATTATATCAAATATTTTCGAAATATTATATTATCTAATTAATATACAATATATTTTTTATTTAATTATAAGTCAAAGGTTGAAAGCGGTTTACCGAAAAAAGTCAAAATTGGACAAATATTTAAAGACGGATGTAGTATTATTTATTACCTTCTTTATTACATTACTTCCTTATTGTATTCTTACTATAAGTCTTCTCCTACTTAGATCAGAATTCCTCTCTTTTGTTACAATTTTTATATATAGGGATGCATCCTATCATTCATTATTAAAAAACACTTAGACGACACAACTATAAAATAAAGAATAAATCAAGATAACCATCCATCATTTTCTATTTGATTGAAACACAATATATATAAGACAAGACTGCGTCATATTCAACACAATATAAGACAACGTCTCTAGAGATCTTACTTTTTTATTCAACTGGGTTGTTCTTGTTGACTTGTTACAAATTTGCATGACAAAGATAAATTTTGATAACAGACATGAAATGCAATCTGTGAAATGCATTCTTTTATTAGGATACCTCTATTACAGTATAATATTGATTATAATATCTGTTCATACGTTTTCGGCCTATTAAGCACTGCATGCAGAATTATTCTCCTCACTAAGGTCCGAACTCGCGACCTCTTATGTGGTAGAGTCACCAAAATGTTGTTGGACCAGACCCTAGAAATTAGTCACACTGCTGCTTGAGATACAATATTATATGGGGAATTTATCTAAATAAGACTACAAAGTTTATAGGGAATAAAAAATTTAATTCCTACATTGGAAAATGACTTATGTTTTAGTCATATATATTTAGTACAAATTTTTCATAATATATTTGATTATCATCAAATCAAATTACACAATCCATATTTGATGATGTTGATAGTGATGAGGCACCACGTACGTATTAGAGAGGTGGGCAATATGATGGGGTTAATTTACTGCTAAGTTAGTCTCATGACCACCACCAATCATCATAATCATCATCTTTGAATCTTCAATCAAAAGATATTTGTAATTAATATTCCCTCCGTTTGAAAAAAGTGTTCCTATTTTGACTTTGTGTAAAAATAAGGAAGTATAAAATTGTAGTTGACTTCCAATTTTGCCCTTGATATGATAGATAAAAGTAAGATGTGATGGATAGATTATTAGAGATAAAGTATGATGTGATAGGTATGGTATGAAAAAATAAGGATAAAAGTGGTTTTTTATTAGAAAGTGGAAGTGTTTTGTTGGAAGTGAAAAAAATGAAAGAGGAAGTGTTTTTGAGAACAGGGAGTAAAAAGTTACAGTAATAAAAAAGGAAAGAACAAAAAGACTAGCTAAATAAACAAATAAAGAAATACTTGTAATTAATTAAGTCAATTAAAACCCTCCTCCGCCAAGAGGAGGCCAGTAATCAGCAGCAGGGCCGCCGTTGTTAAAAATAACGCCGCCGTCGAAGGTGGTGCAGCCTCCTCCTCCTCCACCTCCTCCACCCACACTTATCACGTGTTGATCAGTGCATGACAATGGCACCAAGCACAACCCTTTACTTCTTAGATCCTTATTAACGTCTCCTCCTGATTCCTATATATATACCACCACCCACATTATTAATTATACATATTATCATCACATCACTGCATGTATTTATTTATTTACCAAGTAATTAAATCTCCATCAATTTATCAATTCATACCCTAAATTTATAAATTAAAAAAAATTATATGTACATGTGTGCATTATATCATACTCCCTCCGTCCCTTAAAAAACTTTCCATTTTGACTTTTAAAAGATTTAAGGCAAATGTATTTTGATGTAGACTTTCTAAAAATGCCCTTTGATGTGATGGATAAAGTAGAATGTGATTGGTAGATTAATAAAGAAAAAATGTGATGTGATAAGTAGATTAAGAATTAATAAGCGTAAAAGTAACTTTTTAATAAAAAAGAAAAGGGTTTTTTGGGACGGACGAAAAAAGAAAGGAAAAATGTTTTGTGGAACGGAAGAAGTATTATAACAAGCAAAACTTCTCTTTTCAGGGAAGGAAAGCATGCAAACTTTGAAACAAAAAAATTAAAAATAAAATCAAATTTAAAAAAGATCTTTTTACTCCATAATTTTTACAATTTTGTTAGAGCAAAATATTTTGTGAGCTTATAAACAACTTGAGTGTCTTGGTTCCTTGAAAAATCAAACCCTAATAATAATTTCTCTCTCCGTCCCATAAAATTCTTCTTATTTGAAAAAAGGCGCACTCTTAAAATGAGTGATTTTGGTGTTATTTTCTAATTTTGCCCTTACTTCTTAAAAGAGTAGGATGAGATGTGTATAATAGATTAGTCATAATTAAAAAATAACACTAAAATTACTAATTTTAAAGGCGTGCCATTTTTGAAACAGGAAAGGTTTTATGGGACGGAGGGAGTATTAGACATTCTTAATCTCTTAAAATACACATAGGGTTACTACTCCCACTATATGAATCAAACTTGTGACCTCATATTTGTTTAGCTAGCTAGTGTGACACTAACAAAATAAGTCTATATATAAAACTAAACGTACTAATAATAAAATGTGATGTTTGTGTTTGTGTGAAGAAAATATGGAATGCCACAGAGTTTTGCAAGGCAATAATAAATATAATCTTTTGTTTTCTCCTCTTTTACAAAAAAATTATTAAATGGGTGAAATTAAAAGAAAAAGAAATCTTACTGGAGATTGTTGGTGAATGATGTTAGCCATGCTTCTCCTTGCTGCATTGCCAAAGTATGGGGCGCTTAATGCCTGCATACATACATGCATCCATAAACCTTAGACATAGCTAATTAGAATTTAAGGTGATTTGAATAAACAATTATGGAGATAAACATAACAATTATATTACTCCCTTCATCCCAAGAAGATCACCAATCTTCACTATTACAAAATTATGAGAATTAACTTTTATTTATTTGTGTATTTTCTTTGATTAGTCTATAAGATATAATATAATTGTTACCTCTTTCATTGTAGGACTTTTGATGTAGTTTTTAAATATGTAAGTTTTAGTTTTTTTATACCAACTTTTAAGTAAAATAAATTGAAAAAACTTAAACGTGTATTAGTTTTGCAAAAAATATTAATCTTTTTGAGACGGAGGAATAAGTATGTGACAATTAGTGGAAACCCCACTTTGAAAAGTGTGCTTTCTATTAATAATCAAAGAAAAGTTTTTTGAGAAATTTACCTAAATAGGACTAAAACATAATGACTTTTCCAATATAGGACCATATGTTTTTATTTCCCATTGTAGGACTTTTGGTCATTATCACGAAGTCATTATTCAACTAAATGTGCATCATTGCTGGACATTATTTCTTCCACTAGGTCATTATTAAGTCCTTTTTATGGAATAAAAAAGTTTAAGTCCTACATTAGGAAAGTCATTATGTTTTAGTCCTATTTAGTGCAAATTTCACAAGTTTTTTTTAGTGGAACCCCCATTATGAGTGATGCTCAAGAAAGAGGACATACTTAAATTTGGGAAAATGCAGTATGAATTATCTAAGAAATAATTTCACCACAAGCTCGTGTAGTTCTAAGAGTTTGCTTTTTTAAACTTATTCTTATTGGAATCATATCATGTTTGACAAAATAGTTTAGAAACAGCTTTAAATATAATTAAAACAATACTAGATAATACTCCCTCCGTCCATGTAAGATGTTCTCAATTTGACTTTTCACGGTTTTTTAGGAGAGTTGAAAAAAGGTGAAAGTTTACCAAAATACCCTTAATGAAAATGGGTGGGATATATTAAATAAAGTGGAAAAGGTGTAATAAATAAAGTAAGTGGGGGTAGTTGTGGTATTTTAATTATTAAAAAAGGTAATGAGAAGATCTATGTGGGACAAATAAAAAGGGCTAATGAGAAGATCTATGGGGGACGGAGGGAGTATCAGAATTTATTTCAATCAAATCAGAATCATTCTGATCAAACGAAGAGAACAAACCCTAAGTCTTGAAAGGACGAAACAAACCGGATCAAATGATGAGATCCATGGAAAAAGTTTAGAGTTCCTTTACTCCTTTAGCAAGGTCTTTTTTTTTGAGTAATTATCATTACCTAGATTATGAGTGCGTGTGTCATGTTTCTTCTAATTGAAACTTACTAACTACCGGAATAATATATTCACAACTAGAATTATACTCCGTAATATGTTTAAACCAAAGTGTATATCATCATTAGGAAAATTTACACATGACGTTTATCTAAGTTAATTCTTTATTTGACGTAGACCTTATTATAATTAAACCTTACCCTATACCAAGAATTCTTCATGAGTATGTACAAGTTACAACTATATATGTAGGGATAATATATATGGATAGAGATTGACCTGAATTTGAGAGTGAAGGAATGTGACGTAACCAATAACTTCTGACAAAACGGAGGCTGTATCTGTCTGTAAAAACAAAATTGATCAAACACAATGACAGTAATATAAGCCTCAAAGTCATCTACACTACTTTTCTTTTTTTTTTTTTAATGAAAATGTTTATTTTAGGAATAGACAAGCTGGTTTTTTTCTAAACCTTACAAAAAAAAGGACCATACATCCCAATGACTAAGCCCTACTTAAGTTCCTTACTCCTAGTTAGTTTTTTTTTTTCCATGTTTTTTCATTGTGTGGATATTCTTTCTCCAGCTAGGCATCTAAAAATTATGAACTTTGATAATACTATCACGGTAAATATGATACTCAATAGTTATTACTTATTAACACGTTTGACTTTGAATCCAAGGCTAATTTGTGAGCTCTACTATTTTGACAAAGAAAAATCTAACCTGATTTTTTTCCTTAGAATCATTGAAAAAAATTCAAAAAATAAAAAAAAAATCATTATAAATGTTTCATTGATCAGATTCGGAATTTTGGATTCTCGAAACCTGGATATCCTGGTAATTTTCGGATCATACATTATATTGAATAGATTTTGTCAATTCCAAAATTCTGGTCAGGTATCTAAAAGACCGGACCAAATTAGAATCGATCTAAACGAACAACCCTAAATTATGCACTATGTCATCTACAATAACCCTCTCTTTTTTGTTTCAAAATAAATGGAAGGGAGTAGAAAGAAAGAAGGAAAATGTGAATTTTCTTGTTAAATAAAAGGCAAAACAATGAAAGAAATTATGAATGATAATAGAAAGCTGGTGTTGTTCATTGACACTAACTTTGGGTGTCAATGAATGACACCGATTTTAACTAGATCACCTACCATTTACCTTGTGAATGAAATCCATAGTTCCTACTTCTTATCCCCTTAAACCCCAAATAGAAAGTAGGTGATATTTACTAAAGGAAAAATTATCTCAACTTTGGACGGAAAAGTGCACCCAAGAAGTCAAAAAGTTTATTTTCCAAATTACCCTCAAATGAAATTAATTACAGAGTAATACAACTCTACTCGGTTTGATAAAATAAAATATTTACATCACATTATTTTATAGAATTTTTTATATAATTTTAAAATATAAAATTTATGATGTATTATTTAATTCCATACCATTTTATAAATAAAACAATTAAGTTTAAAAGAGATTAAATTTTATTTGTATTCAAAGTGAGACGATTATTTTAGAACGGTAAGAGTATTAGTTTATGATAAAATTGTCATTTCACTTTATGTTTACACCTTTTTAATAGGGAGTATGGAATATTTCCCACTCCCGGTTTTCTTTATTACTCCATATTGTTTAAAATCATTTATTATTTGGATTTGAATAATTTTTTTATTCATATGGAATATATTATTTATTTATTCATTGGATTTGAAGATGAGACAGTCGACAGGCCTTGATGGGTTCCTCACTTTTGCGTGTTTGTATTATTGCCAAAAAAAAGTTATTAAAGCAAAAAGAATTTTGATATCTTTTTATGGAATATAACGCTTTTTTGAGTTTTCTTTTGTACTGTATTTGTTTTCGTCCCCTCCAAATCAAAACCTATCTGCTGCATGGCTACATTTATAATTTTATATCATCCCCGAAAAAAAAGAGTCTAATAAGAATCAAACACTTTTATTATCGGGAAATGTTCCTTCTCATAATCATTTTGGGTGTCTTAACTGTTCGGATGACGAAGCTCAGCTGGTCAATATGGTGCAAAAGGTAATATAGTCATGTTCTTCTCTATTCGAAAATATAATGTTCTTTACATTTGACTTTTCTTAGTTGAAATTTATGAACTTTGACTCTGATATGTGGAAAAAATATATTGTATTATGATATATATTTAATATCAATATATTTATACTGAAACATAGTTTTCAAATATCAAATTTTAATAAAATATATCTACATGTAAATATAGATATTAATGATCAAAGTACAACATTAATATTGGGTTTTTAATATAGAAAAGATCAATAAACACATTTTGGGACAAGGAAAAAAAGAAGGAAGAAAATAAATTTGGAATGGGGAGAATATTATCTACTAAGTATTTTTTAAATTTATATTATCTATTACTGGGTATATATTTTGTTTGCGAACATCATTTTCGATATATTAGTGTTAGCATTTTAAATAATTTTTTAATGATACAACTTATTTTAATAAAGTTAATGGTAAAGCCTAACTACTACTCCGTATTCAATAACATTTCTATAATATTAAAACTAAAGGTTGAAAATGTTACCAAATAGGCACTATTAAATAGTCCCTTCGTCCCACAAAATTTTTATGTTTTCTTTTTTTCACCTGTCTCGAAAAATATTTCTCATTTTTATTAAAAAAATCACTTTTACCTTATTAAATTTTTAACCTACTTATCACATTATATTTTTTTCACTACCAATCATATTTTACTTTTACCTATCACACCCAGGGATATTTTTAGAAAGTCAATACCAAAAAACATTCACTTTAAATCTTTTAAAAGTCAAAATCAGAATTTTTTGTGGAATGAAAGAAGTACAAATTAGAGAGAAAATTAAAAGATTATGTTCTTTTAGTTTAATTTTAATTTTCACTTTAGTCTGGTAAATAAAATCTAGAATCTGAAAAATAGTTATTTGAACTAAAACTTAATTGAATAAGTTGAAAAAAGAAGAAATTGTAAAACCTTTCCGAATGGAGAAACAAGTTGGTGAAGGGCTGTTATTCTATCCCCCAGCTTCTCTTTTCTTACCTGCTTCCTTCAAATTAACAAATATAATTATTATTACCTATTTATTTATTTAAACGAGGTGATTAATTAATGAGTAAATAGTTAATTAAGAGGGAAAAAATTTGATCACCTTTAATGATGGTTGGGTTGAAGAATGATGATTATGATTATGAACCCTGGCCTTCTTATTAGTTGCTCCTCCACTACCAGTGCTTGTGCTGTTACTCTGTCCACAAAATCATTACTCATTATTATTGAATTTAATTTCTATATAGTTAATTTCAAATATATATAATCTTTTCTTTTATTTCTATCAACATAATTATAAAAAATTCTTTTCCAAAAATATTTAGTGAAAATGATTTAAAAACCTTTGAAATTAAAAAACCTTTAGAATTCCTTGTGTTTCTAAAAGATTATGATGTTTTCCTTTTTTGCTTTTCAAAAAGAATATCTCATTCGATCTTTTTATGAAAGAAAGATGTTAAGCCTTTTCGGAAAAAAAAAATGTTAAGCGGTCCTTTTTTATAAAACTAATTTTATATTAGTATACATTATAATTTTTATTTAATTAAATAAATCTCAAAGTTCATCTGTCTTGATTCAAAAAAATCAAACGAGACAAAAATTCTGGGACAAGAAGTACATGTTTATAATGTCCAAAGAGTCCCCACGAATTAGATTATTATATGCACGCGGATAGAATTCATTTCTATATCCTGAATTTGTTTTGAATTTATTTATGTCGCAAAAAGAAATGAAGTATAATTTAAAAATAGTTGAGACGGATAAGTTAAGCCAACCAATTTATATATTTTAAAAAAATACTTACATTTGATTGTTTCTAATTATTACTCCCTCCGTTCTCAAAAAGAGTTTTTACTTTAAAAAAGTGGAAAAATAAGGAAGTGTTAAATTATAGTTGACTTCCAATTTTGCCCTTGATGTGATGGGTAAAAGTAAGATGTGATGAGTAAATTATTAAAGAAAAAGTATGATGTGATAGGTAGGGTATGAAAAAGTAAGGGTAAAAGTGGTTTTTTAATAGAAAGTGGAAGTGTTTTGTTGGAAGTGAAAAAAATGAAAGATGAAGTGTTTTTGAGAACGGAGGGAGTATAAGTTACTTAAACTTAAAAATTGTAAACATGATAAATTTAACTCTTTTTTGTGGGAGGGAGGGTTAAAATTCTACTTAATGAAAAAAACACCAATTTGTTCTTGGTATTTACTACCTGCGTGCGAGAATATTCGTCCAGATTGACTTTTTCAAGTCAAATTGGACAAACTTTAAACTTTAATTAAGTATAAATTATAATGTATATTAATATAATTTATATATTTAACTTGTTTAGAACTTTCAAAAATTTATACCATTGCATTAATTTACAATACAAATTGAGAGTAATAGATGATTAAAATTTGTCCAATTTAACTCGAAAAATTCAAACTAAACGAATATCTCGAACGGAGTGAGTAATTACCTCATATGAATGTCGGGAAGCACTATCATCATCAGTTTTGTTTTTCCCCGGTGGCTCATCATAATGGCTTCTTGTTTGGCGGCGGTGGTCGTGGTGGTGATGAGGCGGAGACGACAACACCGGCGGCTCTGATGGGAAATAATGGCGGTGATGATCATCATGTTCGGGTATAACAGAAAGACGATGATCGCGATTGTAAAACTGTCCAATTCTAGGAAACGGGTCGTCTTCCTTAATTACATCATCATCAGCATCAGGATTAGCGGGAGCAGAAGAAGAAGAGGAGGATGGTTTGTTCATACCAATTTGGTGATTTTCCCAATTCTCTTGCACCACATTATTCTTGTATTGAAAATGACCCATACCAAACTTTTCATTTTCATTGCCACCCAAACCATCCCTTTAAAATGCAAAAAACCAAAAAAGTAAAATCAAATATTCCATTCATATGTCTATATAATATAAATAATTTACACCCATCTAAACAATAATAAGGTAATAATACCTACGTAGTACATAAGATCAAGTATGATGATCTCAATCTTATTATATTAAACCTTAAAATCTAGAAAATACTTATATAAGACATCATATTTATATAATTATGAGTTCTTTTCAAGTGTTTTATTTTGTTGGATTTTGTTGAAGTCATTGTTTTTTTAATTTCTTTTGAAAATTAAAAGGGTTACTATACAAATGACTTGATAAAATGCTTCATCCATCACATATCCTACTCCATGTTTTGATATTTTCGGTGTGACCATAAAATATAAAAATAATATATTGAATTGTAATATTCTGTATAAATTTCACTCTAAAATATAATTTTAAAATATCATACTGTGTTTATATAATACCCAGAGTGGTTATATTTATATATAAATATAAAATATTAATAATCAAAATACCACATTAGAAATTGGAAAAAAAACGTACAAAAAAAGTCAACTAAGAATGGAAGAAAAACAAAAAGCCAAAAGAGAGAGAATTGAAGAGCGTGTTACATGATGAGTTGGTTGAATGGACGTGGAAAGTGGAGGGTCGCCGTCGGGGCTTCGTCGGCCAAAGAAACGGACGGTCCATAGAAATGTGGGCTCTCATGGTGGTGAGATGGTGGCGACTGTGGCGGCGGCGGCGGAGGAGGATCCACATCACTGCCGGCGTTCACCATGGTGCTCCACCAGTTGTTAGGGTTTCCGGCCATCACCACCCAGCTACGTCGTGCCCAACAGTTAATAATAACACCACCACGTACCACTGCATCCCATACATATATAGGAACGAACCATATACATACTCTATATATAATAATTAAAAAATAATGTGTATCAAAATTAAAAGAACACAAAAAAACAAAAGAGGCCTTAGCTTGGCTTTATTTATATATTTATTTTTTTCTCCTCTCTTTTTGAGCTAAAAAATAATCACATCTTTAATTAATTCCCAGAAGTGAACAACCAAACGGGGCTTTGCGGGAGCTTTCAGTGTTTGCTTTTAAGAGGAAGAATGGTATATTTATGTCCCTCTCAAACAAAGTGGTACTACTACTAGTCTTTCTTGCTTGGGGGGCTCTTTTTTTATAACCCCTCCTTTTTTTTTTTGGTACGGTGGATTTATAATCTTTTTTATTTACCCCCCTTGCTTTAGCTTTATTATTATTTTTATATTTTTTTTTTAAATTATAAGAGTGGGGACTCCTTGTCTGACCCATCATTATTGTTAGTTTGAAACTGATTATGTATTAATTAATTGATTAAATTAATTAATGACTATTCAATGTGGTGCAAATACATGTTTTGTGTTTGATGCAATTCTTTTCTATATCTCATTATCCCTGCAGAATACCTTCTTCTGAAATATTTGCAACGTTAGTTAGAATTTTGAATTTTCACGTCTCGTTATGCACAGATTAAATTACTACTCCTTTCCTTTCGGAAAACACTTTCTAGTTTGACCAAAGACCAATATAAGGTATGATTAAATTGTAGTTGACTTTCCAATTTTGACCTTGATGTAATGGGTAAAAGTCAGATGTGATAGATAAATTATTAGTGAAAATGTATGATGTGGTAAGTAGGGTAAGAAAAAGTAGGGGTGGAAATTAATTTTTTAATAAAAAATGAAAATGTTTTGTTGGAAGATGAGAAAAATATAAAATATGAAGTGTTTTAGTGAATAGAGAGAATAATATATTCGATTAAAGGTTATTTTCCTTCTCGAGAAAGAAATTGTATGGTACTTAAAATTTTCATCCCCTTTACACAATATTTGTTGGTGGTTCTAGTGTTATCAGTAATTTTGTGTAACTAGATTCACTTAGATTAGGCGAGAATTGTAATAGACGTTGTCTAACGAGTTAGGCAGCGCGGAGTGAACACTCATTCAATGATAATACAAATTCATAGCGGGGTTCGATGCCCCCGGTAGCGGAGTCCAAGGGGCGCCAGCCCCTGGTAGGAGTCGTTATTTTGGACATTATTGCTTTATGAAAATCCTTCCGATTTTTGTGAACGAAATCCAAAACGTTAAAAGATTTGGACGGGCGGATAAACGTCAATTCGACCCTAAAACCGCAAGTATCTTTTCGCGCGAACGTTTTCTCCTTAAGCAAACTTTCACATTTTTCCGTTTCTATCTCTTCGCGCGAACATTCGCGTCTACGTGAACGTTCATGTTTGATAATCAATTTTCGTTGGACTCTATAAATAGAGTCTCGTAGGTGTGGTGGAAGTGATCCGATTTTCTTTACTCTATAATCGACCCCAGCTAGGGCCTCTGCCCCTTGGACCCCGCAGAGGCTGTTGCCCCCTTGAACCCTGTTCGGGGGCTCTGCCCACGAACCTCTGCCAAGGGGGCGCTTTCCCTGGGAGTCCCCGTTAAATGGAACTTTATCATAACAAAATCAACGAAACATGCACTCTGCACCACCAAATTTCTTTAATTTTTATTATGATAATGTTGGTCAAATAGTTATTCCAAATTTCCAATTAAACCAAAATATACTACCTTCGGTTTAAAAAACTCTTCTTGTTTTGACTTTTTTTGGTCAAATAGTGTGATACTATAGTTTTAATTTGTTTTTTACTCAACAAACACTAATATTAGAAGAAAAAACGTAGGGGTACCCCAGCTTGCATAGTCAGAGACACACACAGACACCAGCTGTCTGTGTGAAACACAGATAGCTGGTGTTTGTGTTTGTCTTGTGACAAGGGTGGTGTACAATACTTGGGGTATACCTATCAGGGCTCATTTTAGCAACTCGATATTTCGGATATCAAAACTCATACTCCCTCCGTTCCAAAATAGATTACAATCTTTTTCTCTCTCTTCTCGATAACTTTTGTTTATTTGTGTATTTTCATTGAGTAATTGTTAAAATAAAATATATTCTTGTCACCTCTCGTTTTGTAGAACTTTTGACGTAATTTATTAATATGTAATTTTCATTTCTTATTTATGTAACAATTTGTAAATAAAGTGATTTCAATTAAACAAATAAAACAAAGGACGGCGACTCATCTAAACATTTGGCCAAAATAGTATAGAGTCATCAAGCCATCAAAGGACTTGCACAGTGTTTGATTATAAAAGTTGATGTTGATGATTGGCATCTAATTAATAACCTGAAAGAAAAAGATAAAGCCAAACACAAAAGGGCATATAATGTTGAAAAAGATAGACAGATAAATGTTCAGTAGTCAAGAAGAAGAGAAAGAAAAAAAAAAAAAAGGAATCACGTAAAGCAGGATATATAGGTCTTTTGGCATGGGGCAGCAAACTTTCAAAAATTGAGACACTTTCACTCTCACCTTTTTGTTCATATCACCGACCCCCCGGAAATGTTTCACTTCAGTGATGGGGTTGCACAACACCAAGAAGTCCTCAATGGCTTAATTACGGATGGGAGAATTTGCTCAAGTATTGTTGAACTATTGGAAAAATTAAAGAAAGAATAGTTAGTTGATGATAAGAAATTGAATGGAACTAATAATCGACTGGATAAAATCTTTTAGTCTTATTTTGTCCAAATGTCTTATGATTCAATTGAGTGATCCATACCCAACAACAAATTTTTGAAGGCATATATTTGTATTTACTTAAGATTTATGGTGGGTCTTCATATAAGTCGATAAGCATTTGTTTATTACTAAGATAAATAAGCATGATTAATTTTAGCCAAAATATACTCCATGATAAACATTACTATGAGAAGATCTATGTGGACTTTAGGTCAATGATAAAAGATTTCAATACTTATTTCTATGGACCTATCACGTTAGATTAATCTAATATGTAGTACTGGTATGTCTTATTCTCTTCGAATTCCTCGTCATCACCCCACTCCAATGTAACTTTATCATCGCCCACATACTAAGTTGTACCAAGATGGGGACAAAGACTTATACATGAACGGGGTCGAAAGAATGAAATGCCGAACTTTTTCATAATTTATAAAGGATTTGGGTGTGGAGATGCGCCCAAGTACCTGATCAGGGATGTTTCGTGGGCGGGAAGAAGCATCTATTTGAAGAATGCATGCAGCATAGCCCACATACACCCCATCGGAACCTCATTGTTACCCCACTGCACCTCGAAGTAGACTAGAGCCAAACTTGTTAATTACTCCCTCCGTCCGAAAATGATCTTCTCATTCTACTTTTTTATTCAAATTCTTCCAAAGATACCCCTCAATAAATTTCTTTTCTTCTTCTTTTTTCTCGGTTCTTTTTTCGGTCAGCTTCATCTTAGATCTTCTCTCTATCACTCTTGCCTTTCTCCCAACCCCCTTCATCTTCTACGTTTTCTTATTCTTTCTTTCTTTTGCTCTTGTGTTTCCCCCTTGGTCTTGGGAATCATCAGTTTTCCCATCTTCATCCTGCAAACTCCACTAATCCCTTCTAACATCTTAGTAGCTAACTGTATATGAATGAATGTAAATCCTTTTATCTCATTCTAAAACCTTTTCTGTTGTAAATGTGATAGGTGACAATATAATTTGTTGTTTTTATATGAAACATTGTATGGGTATAGAGGATTGGTTTAGAAAATGATGGTAAACAATTAAAGAATCTGCGTGCAAGGAAGCCAGGCGACGCTGACTCAATAGCGTCTCTCTTGCTTCATGAGCACCAAGACCCCTCAGGTAAGAAATTAGTTCATTCTCTTTTTTCTACTTCATCCTGGGAGATTAGGCATATCATGCTTGAGTGAGCATTGTGTATGCGGGTATGGTAGGGTGGTGTGCCAATCATCACCATTTCTCCGCTGACAACCATGTTAACCACCTTCTCCTCCAACGTAAATAGTAATACTAATAATAGTAGTAGTAATAGTAATACTAATAATAACAATAATAATATTATTAATATTAAAGGTAGTAATAATAATAATAATAATAATTGTAATAATAATTACAATCATAATAATAATAGCAATAGTATTAGTAATAGTAATAATCATAATGAAAATAATAATAATAATAATAATAATAATAGTAATAGTTATAATAAAAATAGTAAAATAATAATACTTTTAATACTAATGTTGATAATTATAATAGTAATAATAATAACAATAATAACAATTTTAATAACAATATTAATAATAATAGTTATAGTAATAATAATAATTATACTACTAATGGTAATAATAATAATAACAACGATAATAATAATAATAATAATGATTTTGTATAGAATTGATTTGACTAGACATGATCTGATTAGATTTGATATGATCTGATCTGGTGTGGTCTGATCTGATTTAATTTTAATAAGAATAAGTAATAAGCAGAAAAATAAGTTGAACAGAACGCTGCCTTATAAGCACATAGAAACACTCACATTATATCATTTAAATTAAAGCTAAAAAATCATTATATTAACTTTTTTCTGATAATCTCTAATTATGTATCTAATGAGTGAGTAGTTATTCTATTCTCTGATGTTATACTATAATTTCTATTTTAAGATATCATTATATCATTTAAAGCTCAAAAATCAATAACAAATATTTAGTGTAATCATCTTTCATTGTGGAGTTAATTTTTTCTCATGCATCGCACGAGTGAAGTAGTTAATAAGAAAAGATTCTATTTTTCAAAAGTGCTCATGTTTCTTTTGTTAGAACCATACTCATTTATTTTAAAACTTCAAAATTAAATTCAAAGTAAATCTCAAAAAATAAGGCGGGGCTAGTCTTGGGGTAGGCCTATGGGTGGCTACCTAGAGCCCATTTCCAAAGTGGGCCCATAATTATTTTTTCCTAATAGTACTAGTAATATTTTATTATAAAAAAATAATTAGTTCAGTTTTTATGATTTTAATTTTATTAGGTGAAGATATGAAGTATTATAACAACAAAAACAACAACAACAATAATAATAATAATAATAATATGACACACTCAATTAGGGGTGTTATGGATAACCGAAAATCTGATTTTTAAACAGGAATAATCCACATCCATTTTAAACGGATTTTATCTGTATATGATTAAGGATATTCGATTAGTAAACAGATACAGATTTGGTGATTGTATATCCGATCCATTTAAAATCTGATCCGAATATACACCCGTTTAAAAAACTATTTATCCAAATATTCATTTATTCGAGTACTAAATTGAAATTATTTTAATAAATATAATCCTCTACCCAGCCCATTATAGATTTATTCTTGGTCCATATATCCAAAAATATACCTTACCATCTAAGTCTCTAACTTAGTGACTTACCATTACTTTCATAAAGTACATGGTCGACTATGGATTTAGATTTTTGTTCGAATCATTTATTTTGGTTAAATATTTACTATTCAGACAATAATTTTTTTTTACGTATTCAACGTTGTTCAGCATTATGAATTTCGATATTGACTTTCACATTCCTTTTATAACCATTTGAATTTTTATTAACAGTTCCGAATATTGTGCAATATTCTAAAAATTGGATGGACGTCCAATCGAATTGACAACTGGGTCAAGGGTCAACCGGTCGAATTGGATTGACTTAAGTCAATGCCTCATAGCTTGGTATAAAATATTAATATTTATGTTTAAATAAAAAAATTGCCAACTTTTTTAAACTACTTTTATATATAATAAATTATTATCACATAAGATAAGTATGCTTGTAATTATAAATAATAAAAAGTTTATTTAAAGAAAAAATACAAAGCATTACAGTTAGATGTAGATTATTTTGTTACAAAATTAGAATACGGCATGCATGTATTTAGAAACAAATAGATATTATGTACTGCTTACAAACACCAAATTTTTATTTAGCCCAGATGACTACAATTTTAAATTTTAAGGTTGGAGGTCTTGGGTTTGAATCGCTCTGCCCCTATCTTACTATATTGTTTCTAGGTTTGAACACACTGATATGTATAGTATCGTATCCAGATATATCCAAAATTGAGAATTATCCATTGGAATCAGATTTGAATATAGAATAGTAAATATCCGTCGGATACATATACGGATTGGAATATGCCATATCCGTCCCGAATGTTATCCATTTACAGCCCTACACTCAATCATTTTAATACATAGTGATATTGCTCTTTTCTAAACTACTTGAATATTTTGTCTATTTTGTATTTTCAAAAATTAGGGGTGGACGAGGTATGTGACGATTCGTCATCCTACCTAAAGTCGAGAACCTATATTTGACCACACCTTGAGGTAAAATTTGATATAGAATAAAAAATAAAAAAAATTATATTTAAAAAACATATCAAAAATTTTACAAAATAAAGAGTTAACTGTTTTATTTTATCAAATAATCAATAATATTTATAAAGTTAAAAAAGATACGAAGTACTCGTATAATTTAACTATGTGAATAAGGACGTAAACCTTAATTTGAGACGCATGTAATATATGGATTGAATATTAAACCAAAACAATTGGTAACGGATCATGGATTTTATTGAACTTAAATGGATTCCTTATGAACCAAACCCACCATTATAGTCCAAAATAAAATGTACCCAAACAACCCATTGCCACCCTATTGGGCTATCAAATAAAATAGGACCTGATTTTAAGTAAGTCAGCAAGGCACAGTACGCACATGAAGCCTTTACCCTTACCCAAACGGCCAAACCAATGGGCAAAGATTGAATACCCATTTTTTCAAATAAATTTTAAAAAGTTTAACATATGTTTTTAGTCTGTATAAAATAAATGATTCTTATTTTTAGACCCTGAATTTTTTTGTTTAAATCATTTTTACAAAATTTTTTATTTTTAAAATAGTTTCTATACGTAATTAGCACTTCTTATTACTATCTGAGAGAGCACATTTATTTCATAATACATCTCTACATCTTATTTTTTTGGGAATATAAATACTCTTTCGTCCTTCAAAACATTTCCTGTTTGAAAAAAAAGACGAGCTTTAAAAATATGTAATTTTAGTCTGTATAAAATAAACAAACATTACGGAGTTTCAAAGTTTTACATTTTTAAAACCCGTTGTTTTTTAAACAAGAAATATCTTGTGAAACAGTGAGTAATTAAATTTGGAAATTGGGGATGTAACTCGACGAAGGCTACAACTTAGAGCATAAGAATTGTGAGATATAATTAAAAATATAAGACTAAAATATTGTGTACGAAATAATTGTGTCTTCTCAACAAACTAGAAATCTTAATTACGTTAAAAGATCATTTCAAAATAAAAACTTTTGAAAGCTATGATGACTTAAAAAATTATATCGTCTACTTTACAAGGATTAAAAGCATAGTTAACCCATTAAGTGCATCTCCAAGACATAGTTTAAAATTCAGTAAAAGCTAAAAAATAGAAAAAGTATGACTTTCTTGTTTAAGGCCCCGTTTGGCATCAGCGTTAGAGATTATCGTTAGCGTTTTGAAAAGGCTATCCGATCCGATGGTAGTCTTTAGCATTAGCGTTTTCTGAATTAATCTACTGAAAGAATTATTTGGGAGGAAATTCTCTGCATTTCTCTCTTGTCTTTACAATTTACAATGAAGACATATATATAGGATCTCACAAGTTGAGACTCCTAATAAGTAAAGGAAAACGAAAAGGAAAGAATCCCTACACAAGGAAAACTACCAAAACAATATATACACAAATATCTCCAAATATTCTACCAAATATTCTCTTTCCTTTAACACCCCCCCTCAAGTTGGAGCATGTAGTAACGAAATGCCCAACTTGGGAAGAAGAAACTCCAAACGTGACTTTCCGAGTGCCTTTGTATGAATGTCTGCAAGCTGATGCGTAGTAGGCACATGAAGTGTACGAATCTCTCCTCGCAAGAGCTCATCACGAACGAAGTGACAATCAATCTCAATGTGCTTCGTGCGTTCGTGGAAAACCGGATTAGCAGCAATGTGAAGTGCTACTGTGCTGTCTTACCGGACCGTCATGAGGTCCTTATGCTCAACCCCTAAACACCGCAATACATTCTTCAGCCACTTCAACTCACATGTAAGGACAGCCAAAGCTCTATACTCTGATTCAGCAGACGAGCGAGCCACCGTTGACTGCTTCTTTGTTTTCCATGAGACAGGCGAGTCTCCAAGCTGCACAAACCACCCTGTCAATGACCGCCTCGTCAAAGGACATGCTGCCCAGTCCGAATCACACCATCCTATGAGTTGAAGACTACTATCTGCTGATAGAAAAATGCCCTGACCCGGACATCCTATCAAATAGCGAACAACTCTAAGGGCTGCAGACCACTGATCCTCCCTTGGTTCCTTCAAAAACTGTGCTAAAGTGTGGACGGCGTAAGAAAGTTCCGGTCGTGTAGCGGAGAGATAGACCAACCTTCCTACCAACCGTCGATATGGTTCTGGATCTGCAAGAACCGGGGCTTGGGAACGAGCCAAGTGATGATTTGGCTCCATCGGGGCACCCAACGGCCTGGCACCTAACAACCCCGCCTCAGTGATGATATCTAAGGCGTACTTTCGTTGGCAGAGAAAAATCCCAGACGTGCTCCTCGCCACCTCAATGCCAAGAAAGTATTTCAATGTTCCCAAGTCCTTCATATGAAAACAATCTCCGAGATAGGCTTTGAATTTGATTACTATCTCTGTATTATCTCCAGCAATAATCAAATCGTCAACATAAACCAAAACATGTATGGCTCCTTTCTTTCCAACAAAAGAAAATAAGGAGTAATCAGCAACAGATTGGACAAACCCATATCGTTTCAAGGCTCCAGACAACTTGGCAAACCAACACCTTGGAGCTTGCTTTAATCCATACAGAGACTTCTTGAGTTTGCACACCACATTAGACGAATTCGAGAAATCAGGTGGCAATCTCATATACACCTCATCTTGAAAATCTCCGTGTAGAAATGCATTGTGAACATCCATCTGATGCAATTCTGTTGGTGTAAACCACCATTTATCTTGTTTAGTTGATTAGTTACACAGTTTGTTAGTTTGTTAGAAAGATATTTTTGGTTGTTACTTGTTTTTCATTTTCTATATATAGGACTTAACCATGTACTCCCTCCGTCCCTCATAGATCTTCCCAATAGCCATTTTTCTTTGTCCACAATAGATCTTCTCATTCCATTTTTAACAATTAAAATACCACAACTACCCCCACTTACTTTATTTATTACACCTCACCCGTCTCATTTAATGCACTCCATCCATTTTCATTAAGGGTATTATGGTAAACTTTCACCTTTTTTCAACTCTCCTTAAAAACCACAAAAAGTCAAAATGAGAAGATCTTAGGGGGACGAAGGGAGTAATACACAATTTGAGCTAGTTAATACAATTTGATCCTTTCATTTCCAACATGGTATCAGAGCGGTTGGTTTAGCTCCACCTAGGGATGTAAACAAATCAAATATTTCAAATTCGATTCACGATTTGTATTCGAATATGATGATTCGAATTCGTGTTATTCAAATACAAATTCAAATTCAAATATTATTTTTGATTCGAATATTAATCAAATACAAATACAAATAAAGATATATTCGATTCGGATGATATTCGAATATTCGAATATATGTATATATACACAGACCATATTTTCAACATCAAAAGTCAAGCAAAGTAATATAGCATAAAGTGTATTTAAAATACTATGAATTCAATAAATTAACGTCACACGAAAATCTAAAGCATATGATTTTTAATAGTTATATTTTATAAAATATAATTTGTGTAAGATGCAAATGTATTAATGTTTTTATATACGGAATATAGTATAGTATAAAGAGTATCGTAAGTTAAATTACAAATTGATGTTGGTCCATCATATAAATTACATAGTATGATTATTCAAATATTCGTTTATGATTCGATAACTATTCGAATATTAATCAAATACTTATTCAAATCTTATTTTGAATTCGTCTCAAATTCGGATTCGGATTCGTATTCGAAAAAATTAAACAAATACAAATTCAAATATATCGGTATTCGCTTCGATTCGGTTCGTTTACACCCCTAGCTCCACCCGATTGGCTCATTATCTTCAATTTCTCTCTTGCTTTCATGGCGGAAACTCTGCACATTCATCATTCTCTGATTTCTCTCAATCAATCACGCGAAGCTTCTCTTTCTCTCTCTAGAAGAACCGCCATGGCCGCCGGTGCTCTGCAACTGCAGATTCTCCTCGTCTTACTCATTCTCATCTCGCTGTTCATATCCGGAGCTACGACGGACTCCGTTTCCCGTTCAGATTCATCGTTATTCCGGCGTTCGCACCGTCGCCGGAGCAGTACTCGTACGACGCTCAACTTTATGCGCCTCCAGTCTTCGAGAACATTCTGCGTGCTCTAGGTTTCGAGGAGCTGTCCGCTGCCGCCGCCAGCGCTAATCTCTCAACCGGCGCTCCGATACCATCTTCGCCCCGGCTGATTCATCGATTCTCACATGCCGCTCGTGCGTTCTGCGGCTGCTTCTACACGAGCACTCTGTTCCTGGACTCTATCCGCTCGAATTCCTTCGGAGGTTGGCCTCTGGTACTAAGATCCAGACTCTCGCCGACAACCGATGCCTCACCAACATCATCGGCACTTGCAGGGCTTACTGATGGACTATCTCCTGCATCTGCCTTTGTATTTCCCAGCGCCTATCTGTCTATTAATCTCTCCAAATCAGGTTTCATCACAGTTGGTCCATATTGATCCTCTGTTCATTGTGTTGGTTCTCAAATTGAGTATCCAACTTCATTTTCATTCTCATCATTGGAATGTTCAGCTTCAATCATTCTCTTTCACTTCTGTAATTCAGAAGTTTCATCATTGTTCAATTTCACTCAGTCGGTTTGATTGAGTTTCACTCGTATCGTTTTGATCGAGTTTCACTCGAATCGTTTTGATCGAGTTTCACTCTCATCATCATCACCATCCGGTTTTCGGTTGATTTCATCAATTGTTTTTGTCAATTGATTTCATTTCATCATTTGATGTTTTCGTTTGAGTTCATCAATTGATTTTTCATCTCATCTTCATCATCAGTTGTCTATGGTTTCCTTCTCTGTTCGTTTAGGGAACCATGGCTGCCATCACTAGCACATTGCGGTTTTTTATCACCTCTCATCTTCCTATTTCATCTCTGAACCTGGGAGTGATGTTGTCTACAATCAAAAGCATTATTTTCCCATTCAACAGAGAGTTGTGCCTCTCAGTTTCAGAATCAAGGGCCTTCAGATTTTGAGTTGTGCCTCCACTGTTCTGCAGCTTGTCTCTAGCAAGTCCAAGTTCAAAGATCTCAAAGTTGACTCTCTTCGACACTGATATCATGATGGGGCGCTTGAGGTGTTTGGCATAACTTTGGAAGAGAATGGAGCTAAGTCTACATGTTGGTTTAGGATGCTGCAAGTTGTTTATACATGATCAAGACTCAAGAGGATCTTCATACACAATGCAACACAAAGGATTTTTTTTTCAGTAGCAAGTTGAAGTTGTTCCCACCTTCAACTTGAGGGGGGGTGTTGGTGTAAGCCACCATTTATCTTGTTTAGTTGATTAGTTACTCAGTTTGTTAGTTTGTTAGAAAGATATTTTTGGTTGTTACTTGTTTTTCATTTTCTATATATAGGACTTAACCATGTAATACACAATTTGAGCTAGTTAATACAATTTGATCCTTTCATTTCCAACACACCCCTTAACTGCTGCAATTGCTAAAAGCGTTCTCACAGTGGTTAACTTGACTACAGGAGCAAATGTTTCTTTGTAGTCAAGTCCTTCAACCTGATGATTGCCAAGTATAACAAGTCTGGCCTTATATCTCTCCACACTTCCATCGGACTTGCGCTTGATCTTATATACCCATTTGCAACCAAGGGGCTTTTTATGGCGTGGAGGAGAGACAAGAGACCACGTCCCATTAGCCTCCAGTGCATCAATCTCTTCTCTCATAGCCTTCCTCCATCGTTCATCCTGGAATGCCTTCTTGAAACTTGTGGGCTCCACTCCAGCATCAAGTGCGCTGAGAAAATACTTGTGTCTGTCAGAGAACTTCTCGTGTGTGACATACGAGGCAAGAGGATATTTGCATTTTTCACCAACATGTGAACCAGCTACATGGGTAACATAATCGGCAAGGCGTACATTTGGACGTTTCTCACGCTGACCACGTCCCAAGTTCTCCACCGCCTGCTGAGAAGAGGACGGTCGACCGCCGTCCGTAGAACGGTCCACGGGGTCGACCGTCTGAAGCTGTTCCGGATCGCTAACTTTCTGCCTCGGAGACGGTCGACCGTCTTCAACATCGCGGTCGACCGTTTGATCATCTCCCAAAGAAACATCATTCTGCCTCGCGGACGGTCGACCGTGGATATCAGAACGGTCCACCAGGTCGACCGTTTGGAACCCGTCATTCTGCCTCTCGGACGGTCGACCGTGGACATCCGAACGGTCCATCTGGTCGACCGCCTGTAGCCTGTCTGCTCTACCGCTTTCCTCTTATCCACCGTCCCTCCTGGAACGGTCCATCTGTTCTTCCGTCTGCGTTTCTTCATCTTCATCATAAGAGCTAACCTCATTTGTACTTCCTGTATCAAGAGATGCACCTGTAGGAGTCAAGAAAGGGAAAATATCTTCACAGAACACAACATCCCGGGACACCTTAATTTCCCCAGTGTCCGGGTAGTAAATACGTCATCCCTTCTTCCCTTGTGGATATCCAACAAATATTCCAGGATTGCTTCTTGGTGCGAATTTATCTCCATTCCTCTTTAAGTTATGAGCATAACATCTGCATCTAAAAACACGAATATGAGACAAAGAGGGTGGCTTTTCATAGATCTTCTCGTATGGTGTGACCCCCCCCCCTAACAAAGACGAAGGTGCGATTGATCAGATGTGCGGCGGTCTGTATACACTCTCCTCAGAACTCAATCGGAAGACCAGCCTGAAACCTCAAAGCCCGACCCACATTCAAAATGTGTCGGTGCTTGCGTTCTACTCTCCCATTCTGTTGTGGAGTAGACACACAAGACGTCTCATGAATAATTCCTTGCTCCCGGAAATATTCGTTTAGACATTCAAATTCTGTGCCATTATCACTGCGAACACACCTTATTTTCTTCCCAAATTGTCGTTCTACCATAGCACAGAATTGTTTGAAAACAGTGCCAACCTTACGTTTGGAATCAAGCAAATGTACCCAAACACCTCTTGAAAAATCATCCACAATGGTCAAGAACATTGTAGAACCATCAAAACTTGGAGTCCTATACGGTCCCCATAAATCACAGTGTATCATATCAAATTTATCAACAGATTGATAAAAACTTATAGGAAAGCTCCCACGAGTCTGTTTAGCACGCAAACAAATGTCACAACTGTGACTACTCTTACTTGTTCCAACTCCAGGAACAAGAAACAAAACATGAGAGGAAGGATGTCCAAGTCGTTTGTGCCAAAGATCAAACTTACTTTCCTTCTTCGCACTGCACACCATCTTCTTTTCAGGCTCCTTGAAGTAATAAAGTCCTCCTTCCTGTTCACCCATACCAATTTCTGTCTTTAAACACAGATCCTGTAGTATACACTTATCGTTGACAAAACGTGCCTCACAGCTAGGGATGGCAACGGGTCGGGTTCGGGTCGGATAGTACTATACCCGAACCCGACCCGATTTCAAAAACCGAAACCCAAACCCGACCCAAAACCCGACTTTTTAAGCCAAAACCCAAACCCGACCCGAACCCGACATTCCAACCAAAAACCCGAACTCGACCCGAACCCGACTTTTAACTAATAATCAATTCGGCGTACCCCCATAATTTTAAAAAGATTACATCTAATTTTTTTTGTGTCTCATTTTTTATTAAGAAATTATAAAAAATGATTATAAAAGGCATATTTGATATAGTAGCACTTTGTCAAGAGATTATACGGAGTGCTCATTATATCCATAGATAGGCTTTTATTTATAAAATATTCGGGTTTGAGTCGGGTTGGGTTCGAGTTCGGGTCGGGTCGGGTAAAATAATAAACCCACACCCGACCCGACCCGATGTCGGGTTTGGGTAAAAAATTTTGGGTCGGGTTCGGATTATTTTATTCTCGGTTCGGGTTCGGATATTTAAGTGGTCGGTCGGGTCGGTTAAGCTCGGGTTCGGGTTGAATTGCCATCCCTACTCACAACTCGAATCCCTTGTCAATTGTGACACCGAGATTAAATGGCAACTCAAAGTGGGAACATATAGAACATCATGTAGAATTAATGTTTCTGTCAATTTAATCTTCCCAGATTGTACAGAGACAATTCTTTTCCCATTGGGCAAACCAATCTCACATGGGGATATTCCCAAAACATCATGCAATAACGAAATATCACCAGTCATATGATTCGATGCCCCAGTATCTATAATCCAACGCAGTGATACGGGAATACCTGAAAGCTTCATACTAGAAACACACGATGACAGGGACAAAAACATCTTCCTTGGTTGTTCATCGGCCATGGCGGTAGCAGAGTGGCGTACGGCGGTGGCAGAAGAATCAACAGCAGCATCAATCAAACAGTCTGCCGACGGGACGGTCGACGTGCTCGACCGTTCTAGAGCAACGGTCGACCGTTCCGTTCTCCGGAAACAGCAACAACCGACTAAAACTGAGCAACGATCGATGGACGCCATGCCGGGCGATCGTGAACAGTAGTCGCAGAATATTTCTAGGGTTTAGGCTCTGATACCATGAAAGAATTATTTGGGAGGAAATTCTCTGTATTTCTCTCTTGTCTTTACAATTTACAATGAGGACATATATA